GAAACGATGGATAAACTTGGTCACCATAAAAGTATGCCTGCAGGAGCCGTAATGACCTTAACATTCAAATGCTTGGGAGAAGAGAAACCTCTTCATTTTGCACCAGAAAGATGTTAATGTCCCTGTTCACTTGCACAACAGAAACTATGGATGGACATAGGGGACTGGCCTGCAAACAGACTGGCTTCACATTGTAATGAGAACAGTGAAATTTGTTGTTTAGTCGTTTAGTCGTGTCCGACTCTTCGTGACCCCATGGACCAGAGCACGCCAGGCACCTCTGTCCTCCCCTACTTCCCGCAGTTTGGTCAGACTCATGCTGGTAACCTCGAAAACACTATAAATATTGGTGTAAAACCAGTCTCCACAAGGGGGAGAGTGGAGCCGTCCTTGCTTTGTGGTACAAGCAGGAGGAAAGCAAGATGAGCTTACCTGCCTCTTATTATTTCTCCTCCTCCTCCTCCTCCTCAGCACATTACAAACGTTTGAGGCTAGTTTGAAACTTGCAGGGGTCTTACTGACAGAGGAGATTGTCCTACTGTTACCTCCCACCTCTGGGAGTGGCCCTCTGGCAAAAAAACGAGTATGTAAAATACCAGGTGTTAGACCTGCTTTTCACAATTAGTGGGCAGTATTTGACTCACTACTAGAGATGTATGTTTTTGTGGCAAGAATAAGGCAATGAGTGGTTGTGTTGTGGGGGTGGAGAGAATTGAGAAATACAAAGCACATATCTTTCTAATCACACCTTAGCACACTTTGCTGATTAAGAGCATGGTAATTTGTTTTGCAAACAGGCATGTTCAGCAAATATATTAATTAATTTCTGCATGGCATAGAGCACCCTTCCTCAACTTTGTGCCCTCAGGCTGGTTGGGCCCGGTCTTATTCAACATCTTTATCAACGACTTGGATGATGGACTCAAGGGCATCCTGATCAAATTTGCAGATGACACCAAACTGGGAGGGGTGGCTAACCCCCCAGAGGACAGGATCACACTTCAAAACGACCTTGACAGATTAGAGAACTGGGCCAAAACAAACACGATGAACTTTAACAGGGAGAAATGTAAAGTATTGCACTTGGGCAAAAAAAATGAGAGGCACAAATACAAGATGGGGGACACCTGGCTTGAGAGCAGTACATGTGAAAAGGATCTAGGAGTCTTGGTTGACCACAAACTTGACATGAGCCAACAGTGTGACGCGGCAGCTAAAAAAGCCAATGCAATTCTGGGCTGCATCAATAGGAGTATAGCATCTAGATCAAGGGAAGTAATAGTGCCACTGTATTCTGCTCTGGTCAGACCTCACCTGGAGTACTGTGTCCAGTTCTGGGCACCACAGTTCAAGAAGGACACTGACAAACTGGAACGTGTCCAGAGGAGGGCAACCAAAATGGTCAAAGGCCTGGAAACGATGCCTTATGAGGAACGGCTAAGGGAGCTGGGCATGTTTAGCCTGGAGAAGAGGAGGTTAAGGGGTGATATGATAGCCATGTTCAAATATATAAAAGGATGTCATATAGGGGAGGGAGAAAGGTTGTTTTCTGCTGCTCCAGAGAGACAGCGGACATGAGGAGCAATAGGAACTCCAACAAGCATACAAGAGAAGAAGATTCTCCTCTAACTTAAGAAGACTTCCTCAGGAAGTAGAGCTGTTTCCCTGATAGCGTGCGGATATTCTCCTTCGTCCATAGGAGTGTGGTGGAGCACTCCTCCTCTGCTTTGGAGGTCAACTTCATTAACCAGACAAGCTTGACAACCATATGTCAGGAGTGCTCTGATGGTGTTTCCTGCTTGGCAGGGGGTTGGACTCGATGGCCCTTGTGTCTATTCCACTCTATGATTCTATGAAGTTTGTAGTCCAAACCATCTGAAGATCACCAGGTTAGGGAAGGCTTACATAGAAAGTCCATGCTAAAGAAAGTAGAACCCAGCACAAATTTCTCACATCTCCGTCGCTGACCTTATTTAACACCAGCTACTGTGTGGGAAAAGCCACTGGGAATTGTGTTACATATTATAGTGGGCTCTTTGCCAAGCCTTCCAGAGATTTTTTTTCTCCCTGCTTGCCTGGGAGACTAAAAGCAGCAGGAGAGCTTCCATCAAGCAAGGTCGTCTGAGGCTAAGCATCCATATGCACACTGAGTACAGTTGCCTAGCAGGCTTTGATAAAATCAAAGAATTGTAGAGTTGGAAGGGATTCCAACCCCTGCAAAGCAGGAATCTTATCTAAAGCATCCATGATGGCTGGCCGTCCAATCTCGGCTTCAAATCTCCAAGGAAGGAGAGTCCACCACCTTCTAAGGAAGTGCATTCCCGATGTTTAGTTGGAATTTCCTTTCTTGTAACTTGAAGCTATTGGTTTGAGTTCTGCCCTCCAGAGCAGGAGAAAACAAGCTTGTTCTATATTCCATGCGACAGCCGTTGAGATATTTGAAGATGGCTATCATATCTCTTCTCAGTCTCTCTTCCAGGCTAAACGTACTCAGCTCCTTCAACCATTCCTCATAAGGCTTGGAATTGTTATAAAATTTAGAGTGCGCACACATAGCAGACACACACTTCACAGAAAACCAATCCTTCACCCTTCAAAATATAGGAAATATTTTCTGAGAAAATTACACATTGGTTTAGCACACAGAACGATCCCCAAAAGCCATCCTGACTCTCGACTAAATATTTCCTCTGCAGAAGAGAAACTTTCCCAATAGTTCTTTCACTTTCAAATCCTGTCTTAAGGGCATATTTTGTGTATGAATAGCGTGGGCCTGGCACCTGGATGAGAACCAAAGTATTTACCATCTCAAAAGAATGGCCAGACTGCCCAGGTAAAGCTATCAGTAAAACATCAGGTATCCTGGCAGAAAGGAGAGAAGCCACACAATCAAATTTCTGTGTAGACTGCCTCTTTCTGTGATATATATATATTTGATGCTTTTAGTGCATAGTCTTTGGCTAATGGGTTGGGCAACATCTATAAAGGGGTGTGCACTCCTTTGTTCTGGGTCTCTCGCCTCCCTGCAAGGAGGTGGGGAACCCTGTTGCAATAGAAAAATAAAATCTGCCTTGCTTTCACTAGATCCTGACTCCATCCATCCTTGTCTGACCGATCATGGACTTATGGGACTCAAGAGTCCCTTGGGGAATTGGGCAGCAAAAGCCAACCCCCTATTTTTCTACAACAGTTTCCAGACCCTTGGTTATATTGGTTGCTCTCCTCTGCACATGTTCCGGCTTGTCAACATCCTTACTAAATTGTGGTGCCCAGAACTGGACACAGTACATGCTAGCAAGGTTATTCTTAAAATTCTACAAGGCAGTCTTAAGCAGCATGTGGACCGAGAACTCCCAGAAGTGCAAGCTGGATTTCGAATGGGCAGAGGAACCAGAGACCAAATTGCAAACATGCGCTGGATTATGGAGAAAGCCAGGGAGTTCCAGAAAGACATCTACTTCTGCTTCATTGACTACGCAAAAGTCTTTGACTGTGTCGACCACAGCAAACTATGGCAAGTTCTTAAAGAAATGGGAGTGCCTGATCACCTCATCTGTCTCCTGAGAAATCTCTATGTGGGACAAGAAGCTACAGTTAGAACTGGATATGGAACAACTGATTGGTTCAAAATTGGGAAAGGAGTACGGCAAGGCTGTATATTGTCTCCTTGCTTATTTAACTTATATTTAATTCATCATGCGAAAGGCTGGACTGGATAAATCCCAAGATGGAATTAAGATTGCTGGAAGAAATATCAACAACCTCAGATATGCAGATGACACAACCTTGATGGCAGGAAGTGAGGAGGAATTAACCTTTTAATGAGGGTGAAAGAGAGCACAAAATATGGTCTGAAATTCAACATCAAAAAAACGAAGATCATGGCCATTGGTCCCATCACCTCCTGGCAAATAGAAGGGGAGGAAATGGAGGCAGTGAGAGATTTTACTTTCTTGGGCTCCATGATCACTGCAGATGGTGACAGCAGTCACAAAATTAAAAGGCCCCCCTTTCTTGGGAGAAAAGCAATGACAAACCTAGACAGCATCTTTAAAAGCAGAGACATCACCTTGCCGACAAAGGTCTGTATAGTTCAAGCTATGGTTTTCCCAGTAGTAATGTATGGAAGTGAGAGCTGGACCATAAAGAAGGCTGATCACCGAAGAATTGATGCTTTTGAATTATGGTGCTGGAGGAGACTCTTGAGAGTCCCATGGACTGCAGGAAGATCAAACCTCTCCATTTTGAAGGAAATCGGCCCTGTGTGCTCACTGGAAGGACAGATCCTGAAGCTGAGGCTCCAAGACTTTGGCCACCTCATGAGAAGAGAAGACTCCCTGGAAAAGACCCTGATGTTGGGAAAGACAAGGAGAAGGGGATGACAGAGGATGAGATGGTTGGACAGTGTTCTCGAAGCTACCAGCATGAGTTTGACCAAACTGCGGGAGGCGGTGGAAGACAGGAGTGACTGGCGTGCTCTGGTCCAGGGGGTCACGAAGAGTCGGACACGACTAAACGACTAAACAACAAATGCCTTTTCTTGACCTGGACCCTCGACTTCTGTTGGGGCAGCTTAGAATACCGGTAGTATTAGCTATTTTTGCACCGAGAACTAAACACACAGGAAGATACGCTACTAAAGCCGTGATAAAAAACTCGTCCCGACTCCGCAATGGAAACTTCCCCTTTCAGAGCAAAGGAAAAGAGAAGGAGGCGCTGCCCTGCCTGTACTAGGCACGGTCCCGCCCCTTCCCTCAGATTGCTTTATTTCAGGACCTGTAAACGTGCTCTTCTTTCCTGCGTTGACCAATCAGGACTTTCGATGCCCGTTTAAGCCCGCCCCCAGGTCCCTCCTTTCCGGGTTGCATCAGCCTTTCCCCCGCCGCTTACAGTAGAAGCCACGGAGCGCTCCTCGGAAGCCCCCCGCCCTGCATTGGCGTCATTCCCGGCCCTCGCCCAATCAGGGCAGCCGCGACTCCCCCCTCGCCGAACCGCGTCATTCCCCTTTGCAGCCAATGGCGGCGAGGCCGGCTTGGGAAACGGGGCGGGGCGGAGCCTTTATAAGGCCTTGCTCTGGCGCCGGCGGCCGCTTCCTCGCCCCTCGCTCTTCGCCCGCCTTGCCGAGCACCGTCGCCATGGCAACCGCCTCCGCGCTCCCGCTCTTCCGGATCCTGGCCCGAGCCGCCTCGGCCGGCCCCGCCGCCCCTTGCTGCTGCCCGCGCCTGCCCGGCCCGCGGGGGACTCGCCGGCTCCACCTCACGGCGCCCAGGTAGGCGGGGTCGTCTGTCGGGCGGTGGAGCCTCCCTGGCCGGGCGCAGACTACCTGAGGAGAAGGAGGAGGAGGGTGATAATGGCCAGTTCGAGGCTTCCCAGTCTCTTTTCCTGCCCCCCCCCCGCGTGTCCCTGTCTTCGCCCGGCCGCCGCCTTGGGAGAGGAAAGGGGGCAGGGGGGCTGGCGGCGACCCCCCCCCGGGACCCCCTTCCCCCCGGCCCATCTCTGCCCCGCTGCTTCCCTCGGGGAGCCCCTCCCGGGCGGGCGGGCCGGCCGACGTCGTGGCGCCACTCCCCCTGGCGGCGGCGCGGAGGGCGGCAGGCTGATGAAATCGCCCCGGCCGCTTGCATGGCTCGGCCCGGAGCTGCTGCTGCCGCCGCCGCCGCGGAGTTTCGCGCCGCCAGCCCGGGGTTGCTTCCGTGCCTCTGATGGGGCGGGTCACGGGAATGCTTTATCATCAGTATCATGGGCATCGGAGGCGCCGGGGCGCCCCAAGGCTTCCAGGAGCAAAGAGTTGGAGGTGCAGTGTGTTGTGTAATGGTTAGTGTTGGGCCAGCAGCCCCCTCGGAGACCCGAGTTCACTGTCTCTCAGCCCACCCTACCTCGCAGGGTTGTTGTGGGAGATTATACCAGGGGGCGGGGGGAGAACCACATGCGCTGCCTTGAGCGCTTTGGAGAAAAAAGGTGGGCTATTAAATAAAGACATAAATAGTCGTTGCTTGAAAAGGAGTACTGAATCCTATCCCTAGAAACCTGCTGAAGCGGAGGGTGTGGGTCCCAAGACTTTCAAGGGCAAAGTGTGGAGCCTTAATTGTAAAAGGGGCACCTGTCATCTTTCTCTCTCCCTGGTGCTCTTATCGCTTGAGGAAGCCTGGTCTGCTGGCATGCAAGACAATATTCTGCAGAGCGCAGTTGCACCTTCCCCACTTCATGAAAAACAGCTTTGAGAACTTGGTTGGTGTTGGGAAAACAAGTTTCCCAGGCACTTTTTGAGACTATGGAAGTTTGAAGACTGTGCAAAAGGAATGTGAGAGAAAGATGATCTCTTTCCACAGCAGATTTGCCCTGTGGGTATCAGTGTACCTGATTCACCAAGACCCATTGCATGTTAGCCAAAACCCCAGCATGGTTGGCTCACAGTAGCAGCAAGGGGGTTTCCTGCCTCACTGCAGCAAGAAGTGAAACTTGCTTCTGAGGCTGCACCAAAATATCCTCCATCGTTTGCACAGAGATAGTAGCTTGAGTAAATGCTTTTGCCTGAATATATTTAAATGTTCTTCCAAATATGTTCTGTGAAGTCATTCTACTGATACTGCAGTGGCAATTGCATGTAGAATTGGGCATTTTCTATTTTTTAGAGCAAGAGAAGGCCTGATCTTGTTCTGGAGGTCATCCTTCTCTTACTCTTCATAGTGCCTCTGAAGTTATGTAATGCCTTTGTGGCAGTTGTTCGTGTGAAGTTTTTAGCTCCCTTGCATTCTTGCTCCATTTTGCCAACTGTTGGCTGTAGAGCACATGCATTCGGCTGCCCCCCCCCATGTCCCTGTCCTTTTGTTAGGCTCCTGCCTCCCATGAGATCTGTGAACCTTTAAGTGTTGGGTCAGATAGCCTGGGAATAAGTGTAAGCTGCTCTGTGGAGAAGTAATGAATTTCCAACAAGACACTCCTAAGCTTTTTGGGGATCAAATGCTTTAAAAACTCTCTGTTTGCAGGAATGAAGCAGTTGTCATTTCTGGAAGGAAGCTGGCACGGCAGATCAGGCAAGAAGCCCGCCATGAAGTGGAGCAGTGGGTTGCAGATGGAAACAAAAGGCCCCATCTCAGTGTGGTTCTAGTTGGTGAAAACCCCGCCAGCCACTCCTATGTCCTGAACAAAACCAAGGCTGCGGCTGATGTAGGTATGTCTTTCCTGGCCTGGGTCTTCTGCAGTATTAGTCATTGCACTATTGCTGGCAGAAAAAGGGTCTCAGATGAGTGTCAGTCCCCACAACTCAGCTTGGCTTGTCTCTCCTCCTGACCATCTCCTGGAGCCTGTCTCAGCTGCTGCTTCCTCAGCGGCCCTTCGTTTTGAGCAGTGTAACCTCGCCTTACCTCAGGAATACTGGCTGCAAGTGATCCCCAGGGTTTAAGAGAGGCAGCCTTCCCGGCCCTACCTGGACACACCCAAGACTGAACATGGGATCTTTTGCATGCAAAGCAAGTGCTCAGCTGCTGATTTGCAGCCCTCCTCAGTGAAGGGGCTGGGGTGCAGACGGGTGGGCCTTTCAGCTATATGGCAGACTGCAGCAGGGTTTGGCCAAAACTGTCTCTCCCCCACCACAGTCCACTTAATTTTGTTTTCTCTGGCTTCTGCCATCTCATCCCTAATGCTGCTGCTCTAATAATCCAGCTTCACTTTTGCGTCAGTAATTGTTTCAAAGCTTGAGGTGGGAAATTGAAGTAGGACTTGAAAAGTTTCAAGCTGAAAAATGCAGCAGGTGTTGCCTCTTTAGCACTTCCTGCTACTATGGTGGTATTAGTAGCAACAGCAGAGATCTAAAGCTTTAAAACAATATTTTGGGTTGCTGAGCTTTGTCAGAACTCTGTCTAGGCAGCAGTTGCTTTTGGGGCTTCACTCTAGATGTGACTTTTGAATGGAAAATGTAAAAGGAGAAAGACCCCAGGGCTTGGCAGCCACTTGAGGTTTTCATTTCACTGGTCAGATTGCAGTTACTGGATCTTCACTGCCTCATCCACTCTTGCTGTAGTTTGACATGAGGACAGTGGGCCTCATGTATCCTAAAGAATGTACACAACATTTTTGCACTGTTAAGCAACTCTGGTATTCATGGCTTCATTTAGCTGGCTCCAGCAGTTCCCTTGCATAGTTTGCAAGCCTGCTAAGTGTTTTGGGAGGGGAAGTGCTAACCAGGGGCAAAAGGCACAGGCTCACTGTCTGTCCAGATGTAGGATCATATATAAAGACACTTGGGCTTCACCAACTCGTGGACGATGTCACAATTAAAAGCCCTTCCCCATAGTCCAGGACACTTTTCACTAGAAAAGCCAAAATGTGGTGTTGCTCACTGCATCTATTATTTCTTTTGTCCTTCAGAATACTTTTCTAACAAACATTTTGAAATCTATTGTACTCTGCGTTTCCATCTGGATCTATTCCGTATCTTAATGTTCTGTGTGCTGCTGTTTGCCTATTGTGTTCCTTCTCTCCTGTATTTTTCCTCCATAATGACTTTTTGAAAAAATTGTAAATGGCTTTGGACCAGGATTCTATTTGATTTCTCCCCTCCTGCCCCCCAAATAAAACAGAATAAAGTTCACACTGGAGCCATTCCTTGACTTATGAAGTATGGTTTACCAGCTTCAATTGTCTTTTGACCCTCTTTCATAACTTTTGGTACTTGTAGGAATCAGCAGCGAAACGATCCTGAAGCCAGCCTCCATCACTGAAGAGGAGTTGCTTGATTTAATCAGCAAGCTAAACAATGACAGAAATGTAGATGGCCTCCTGGTTCAGCTCCCTTTGCCTGGTGAGTGCGGTGCTTTAGGAGAAGCTCTTCATCCAGCATCCCTAGACACATACCCATAAGTGTCAGCTTCTGATTTCCCCCTCCGTTCATCCTGTTCCTGGGATTACATGCATCTGACTCCTTGCACTAAAATCTCTCTTCCCGGCCCCCCCTTTCCCTCCAGAGCATATTGATGAGAGGAAGGTCTGCAATGCTGTGAACCCAGAGAAAGATGTGGATGGCTTCCATGTGGTGAATGTGGGCCGGATGTGCCTTGACCAATACTCCATGCTGCCAGCGACACCTTGGGGCGTGTGGGAAATCATCAAGAGAACGGGTAGGTGTTTGTGTGCAAATAACTGCTGACCTTGAGTCGCTTGGAAGAAGGCAGAGCCTGACTTGGGTGTGCTGTGTTGCAGGGATTCCGACCCTTGGCAAGAATGTGGTTGTGGCTGGACGGTCAAAGAACGTGGGGATGCCCATTGCGATGCTGCTTCATACGGATGGGCGGCACGAGCGCCCCGGAGGTGAGGGTCTGGGGGACCTTCAAGTGCAAGCTGCTTTTCCCAGGGATTCTTTCCCTCTTGGTCCACTTTCCTGGTGAGACGGAGGCTTTTCTGATCTTTGCAGGAGGCAGCAAGTCATGTTTGCTGCGGGTTCTTGTTGCTGTGTGGCCCCAGACTGACAGGCCCACTGTGATACTGCCTCTTGCTTGCCTGGATAGAAAAGGGTGGGGGGTTTTGTAGGAGTGGGGGCTGCATGTGCAAAACTGGCTTTTACAGTACAAAGTTAAGAACCACACTTGTCGCTCCACCCACTGCCTGCATGTTGCCCAGGAGAGCCTTCACCCTTGGTGTGCGTAACCCACATTTCCCCTTCAACTGAAGCCTTTCACTCGAAAACATCTGTTGTTTTTTAATGCGCTTTTTCTTGAGGTGCTGGGAGGTCTTAGTGGGAGTATACAACGTAATCAAACCCAAACTGTTTCATGAGGCAGGTGCGAGGAGTGCAGACTCTGTGGGTGGTAGGAGCACGTGGCGAATTGCCAGATGAGATGCAGCCCCATTCCACCTCCCTAGCTGCCGCTTGCCCTTCCGAAGGCCGTTTGAGGAGGCCCGGTGTGTCCTGTTCTGACTGTAACTTCTCTTTTCAGGGGATGCAACAGTAACCATCTCTCACCGCTACACTCCAAAGGAACAGCTCAAGCAGCACACGATTCTTGCTGACATTGTGGTTGCAGCTGCAGGTAAGATTCTGGGTGTCTTCTTTAAGAAAAACAGCCTGAAAGCCGAAGCCCTTGGAAGAACACGGCTGCCATTCCTGTAGTGGCCATGCTAAGAATAACTAGGAAGGCTTCCGCTAGGAGTCTGAATGCCGACGCTTCTGCCTGTGGAATTTCACATGCTGCTTCAAGCAGATGGCTACTGGCTTGCAATGGCTGCCCTATGTTACGATGGATGGCAGGCACCCTTTGTCAAGCTCTCGGGCTTTGTCCTGTGGACGTCTGCCTGTGGCTGCATTAAATGAAGATCAGTAGCTGCCTTAGATGTTACATGCAGAAATGAAAGTGAATGAATTAAAATGTTAACCCCTGAAATGTTGCATTGCAGGCATCCCTAATCTGATTACAGCCGATATGATCAAAGAGGGAGCTGCGGTTATTGACGTTGGCATAAACCGAGTCCGGGACCCTGTTACTGCAAAACCAAAACTTGTTGGAGATGTGGATTTTGAAGGTAAGCAGGGTGCTTTGTATTTGGACCCCCAGTCCTCACAGTGACTGATCTTGCCTTGCCTTAGGCCACTTGACGCCATACAGTTGTTTTGGAGTATGCCTCCCATCCATCTTGTTCTGACTGGGGCTGATGGGAATTGTAGTTCAAAACATACTGAGAGCGCCGGGTTGGGGAAGGCTGGGTTAGGCAGATAGGCTCTTGCTGTCTCAGCTATCCTTGGGAGGGTTGCAGTTTTGAACGAGCTGCATAGCTTCTCCTATAAGGCAGTGGGTTAGCTTGATGCAGAATATATCTGGTTACTTGATATCTTACATAAAAAAAGATTGTAATTCTTCCTTGTAACTTCATCCTGCAACTTCTGTGTTGGATGGAGCAGCTGGTGGGCTGCGAATTTTGAATCTGATGCGTGCTCTTGGCAGCACGGAGTGGACTCTTGCGTGTGACCTTGTTTCAGCGAGTAATGGCAGGAGTTCAAATTTCTGAAAGCTTCAGCACATGCAGCTCTTGATACTGTAAATATCAGCTTAGCTAACGTATTAAGACAGTTTACCCGACAGAAAAACACCTGGATCTGGCCAGTTTTTTTGTAATGTAAGGATGGGTAGCTGCCCAGAACTCCTCCTGAATGTACACCACTGTGTGGTTTGGGGCTTCTGGCAAAAGGGCCTGACTCCCTTTCCTGAGAGCCAGTGTGGTGTAGTGGTTAAGAGCGGTAGACTCATAATCTGGTGAGCCGGGTTCGCGTCTCCGCTCCTCCACATGCAGCTGCTGGGTGACCTTGGACCAGTCACACTTCTCTGAAGTCTCTCAGCCCCACTCACCTCACAGAGTGTTTGATGTGGGGGAGGAAGGGAAAGGAGAATGTTAGCTGCTTTGAGACTCCTAGGGTAGTGATAAAGTGGGATATCAAATCCAAACTCTCCTTCCACTGTTGCCCTCGCAGGACTTCCCCTACCATTTACCAAGGACACTGTAGCTCATTAGGGTTTTTTTTTTTTTTTGGTAAAGGTTAATAAGGATTCTGAACCTCTTATAGGATACAAATTATGGGTATGTTATCTCACAATGCGAAATTTTAGATACTTTGTTTTTGTTTTATTTGGCAACTAGCATGGAGACAAAAGCTCAGAGGTCTCTGAATCTGGGAGAGGTCTAGGGTGGCTTTCCAGTGGTCAGGGGAAGTGGCAGTAGTGCTGTCAGCAGCACCTGTGGCTCTTACTTTGCCCTGCTTGGTCCCCTTGCCCCAACATTCACACTGTTGTGTCACCACAGCCTTTCCCAGCAGAGATTTCAGGATTAGCTTCTTTGGGGCAGCCTCCCTCTGCACCCCCCATCTTCTGTGATGGCTCTCTGCCTGTGGAATACTCTCCCCATGGAGACTTGCCTGATGCCGTTGTTACGTATCTTTAAGTGCCAGGCGAAAACATTCCTCTTCTCCCAGGCCTTTGGCTAATTAAACAAATTGGACAATCTGTGGCCTTTTAAACTGTGTGTGGGATTGTTTTTGTTTTACTATGGTACAAACACCCGCGGGACGCGGGTGGCGCTGTGGGTAAAAGCCTCAGCGCCTAGGGCTTGCCGATCGAAAGGTCGGCGGTTCGAATCCCCGCGGCGGGGTGCGCTCCCGTTGCTCGGTCCCAGCGCCTGCCAACCTAGCAGTTCGAAAGCACCCCCGGGTGCAAGTAGATAAATAGGGACCGCTTTCTAGCGGGAAGGTAAACGGCGTTTCTGTGGGCTGCGCTGGCTCACCAGATGCAGCTTGTCACGCTGGCCACGTGACCCGGAAGTGTCTCCGGACAGCGCTGGCCCCTGGCCTCTTAAGTGAGATGGGCGCACAACCCCAGAGTCTGTCAAGACTGGCCCGTACGGGCAGGGGTACCTTTACCTTTACCTATGGTACACATTTTTATGTTTTTATATTGTAAACTGCCTTTTCATCCTTGGGTGAAGGGCAGTATAGAAATATAGCAACAATTTTGTCCTTGATTTGCCTTTGTCCTGCTTGCAGCCTCCTCCTCGGGCTTTTGACACTTGTTTTCCTTCTGTGCTCCATCATCTCCTTTCCTCCTTTTCTCCAGGTGTGAAGCAGAAAGCCAGCTACATCACTCCAGTCCCTGGTGGGGTTGGGCCCATGACAGTTGCCATGCTCATGAAGAACACCATCATTGCTGCAAAAAAATTGTGGCGGCCTCAGGAGCTGGAAGCCCTAAGTGCCTAATGCTGGACTTCCGAGGGGCAAGCAGCAGCAGCATTCCAAATCTCTTCCCAAACACAGCCTAAGGGACAATGCAATATTTATTTATTGGCTGAAAGGGCATCAGAGTCTCGCTCTGGAGTATTTATTTTAAAGCAAATTTTTTCCAAGGCAAAAGGGTCCAACATGATACATTATGATTCCGATCATTTAAGCGTCTTCATTTATGTGCAGGAACCAAGCTTGGGGTTAGAATGGAGGGGAGTGATTGTGCTATCTCTCAAACCCAGTAGGAAGCTGTAACTGAGGGCCAAGTGTGTGTGTTCATTGTACAAAATGTGTCTTAGTGTGTGCATCGTGCAATTTCAATTCACCAGCCTCTGCTGAACCCGGGAGATACTATGTTATCTGCTAGGATTATACCACAGCTATTCTGGAGTCAGATGTTGCTATTTTCTACAAAGCCTTATTTGTATGACCTTTCGAAGCTCTCATAACAAAACTTCTCAGTTCCTAAACATTTTTTTTCGAAGATGGAGTGGACTCAAAAGCTAGACAGTATTTTGAGATATAGTGTTGTGTTAGCCTGCAAAAACTTGGGTGAAGTTTTTCTGTGCCTGTTCAAGCTTGCTTGCTATTTACATGGGCTGTTACTGGAGCTTGGAGGTTGCATCTGAATAAAAGCGATTCACATAGCGCATTCAAACGTTTGCATTCCAATGTGCACACTGACAAGGGGGATCTTAATTGTGCAGCAGCCGAAGAAGAATAGTAACTCGGTGGTAAAGCATATGTGTTGTGTGCCAAAGGTCCCAAATAGTATCCCTGGCATTTGTATCCCCAGGTTTTTTTGAATACCAAATCTCCGTATGACCCATGTGGTTTTTTCGCAGTCTGGTAAGAGTCCCATTTTTTGTGACACTTGACATTTCCAATATGTGACTACATCTGATAACACACTATTACTCTCTCTCTCCAACCTGGTGCCTTCTAGTTATGTGGTCAACAGTGCCCATCAACCCCAGTATCATCCAGCTATGCTGGCCATGAGTCATGGGAATTGTAGTCTAAAGTATCTACAGGGGCATCATGGTGTGGTGTGGAATCCTGACTTACAGCACCCAAGTCATTTTAGATGGTATAAATCTGAGAATCCTTAGCAAAATACTGAATTGGCTCTTGAAGATGAACATGATTTTCATGAGCACAACACAAAAGGAAGAGGTTCAAAAATTTATTAGACTATAAATGTTACTATAGTAGCAATGTAATAGCTCTGGGGCTGAAAATCTTTTGCTTTTTAAATTGTGTGTGTGTGTTTGTAGTGGCACTGAGCACTGCAGTGCTCAGTAGCTGATGGTGGGAGTAATAGATTTCACAAGCACAGGTGCATGAAACACTTGGCTTCCACAAACACTCTTTTGATTTACAAATCCTGCTAAAACTTTATAACAGTATTGTTAAAGCAGCCTCTACTAAGCAGTACACAGTAGTGGTACAAAATAAGTAAGGAAAATATACAAGGCTATGTTCAAGTTCAAGTTGTTCTTGCAGCCTTCATTGGCTTGGCACCTTCCAATGGTTTAGGAATCCAAATCCTACGAACCTCCACTAGCCTGGTCACGCTACAACGGACTGATGGGGCATAGGTTTCAGGGAGGCTAAGTTAATTCTATTTAGAAGTTGTTGCCCAGGCATAATACAGTTTTGTTGAATTTTGTCCAACAGTTAATGGGTACTTGATTGACATAATATGATAAATAGGATGCTAAATTCAAGTTTTTCTTTTGTTTTGACTTCAATATTTACAAAGTTACAAGGAAATCAGCATTAATTTCACACAGGTTCAAACCAGGTGCAATATTTAGCAAGCCAGAATATTCTGTACATAAGAGTCCTGTTTTAGAAGTAAAGTATCCTTTCCAAAGAAAATATCAAGTCTTTGAAACTGCACAATACGGAAGAAATGGTAACTGAAAAAAATCTGATTCCAAGATGTTTTTTTCCTGACAAGTAGAAGGAATGATCTTTAAGCCAGTTAAGGCCAACAGCCATCAGCAAACTATCAGATAGCATGACAGCCAGGTGACAAGCCACACACACACATTTCTGTTGTAGACCGCCTTTTTCTGTGACACGTGTGTGATGCTGTTTGCGCGGTCCTTGGCTAAGGGACAATTTCTAAAGCCTTTAAAAGTTCATGTGCTCCTTTGATCTGGGTCCTCACCTCCTACCAAGCAGAGTGGGGGGGGGACTTCTGTTGCAACAGAACAATAAAGATCCGCCTTGCTTTCACTGGATCCTGCCTCAGCTCATTCTTCTCTTGACCAATAATAGCTCAGTTGGTTAGAGCAATAGTGCAGATAATGCAAAGATTGCAGGTTCAGTCCCTGTATGGAGCAGCTGCATATTCCTACATTGCAGGGGGCTGGTCCATTCCAACTCTATGATAACAAACTTGGGGGACTTGAGTCCCTTAAAAGGGGTGTTAGGCTGTTAAAGCCCACTCTCCAATTTCTTGGGGACAGTGGTATTGGCACACACCGAGGGAGGTATCTCATGGCACTATGGTTGGCCAGGGATGCCATGCTGGGAACCCCCAGCTCTTAACAGAAAACACTCATTCACTAAGGGCTTACCCACATTTCCTTGTGTTCGGATGGCGAAGGTGACCATTCTCTTGGAACCAGCTTGGGGCCTTCATGGCAAATGCACAAACAACCAGCATTTCTCATGAAGGAATTCCACGGGAGGTGTCTCCTTGGGCAAATTGTTGAGGGTCATCAGAAGTCCAAATCTGCTTTGCTGCAACTGGATTCTGTTGCTCCTCCGCCTTCGTCAACAAGCTTGTGCAGCATTCAGATAAATGATACGTCATTTGAAGATGGCAGTAATCCGGCTCCTCCTGCCTCTGCAGTACTATGGTTGATAGTGAGAGAGAGGCTTTTTCTACAGGAGTGGAAGGTTTTCTACGCTTAGCTACGGAATGAATAAAAAAGCTACTGGCTCCACTGAGAGATATCCTACTGAAATCCATGAGCCTTCAGAGGAAAAGACCAGCAGGTCCAATTGGAAGGAACTGCTGCAGACCACAGGGAAGACACCCAAGTCCAAAAATGATACTGTTCCTCCATCCAAGGAGCTCAAGTTCTAATAAGTTCCTTTGTTCCCACAGACTTTTAAAGACCTATTTCCATGTTGCTTGGATGGATCTTAAGCTGGAGATCTAGGGTCATCATGGCATGTGACCAAGCAGGATGGAATGTCACAAATTGTCTAATTTTCTGATGCTAAATCTACATACAAAGGACCCCCCATTCCTGGGACTATAGAGTGGTCTCGCTGCCCATGTCCCGGGGGTGCTTCTCTGTGTCAGTGTCTTCATAATCTGACTCCATCTCTATCTTCACCTGGGGCACAGCACAGATGGGATTTCGAGAGTAATTAAATGCAGGAGAAGATGGACAGGAAATCTTCAGGTGAAGTGTAATACTGGAAGAAAAGCAGAAAAGAGGGGGTTAGTTGGTCAGACCATTGCAGCCAAGGAATTCTATTCTATTCTAATCAGGCCTTGTTGTCCCTCCATCTGAACAAATCCCCTTTCCACCCCTCTCTTGTGGGCCCTGAAGGCTCACGAAGCAGCTGCAACCTGGTGCCCCCTTGGCTCCCTGGCCCACAGCTCCAATCCTTTCTCATCTTGCCACTTCCTCCTGGGCTGACCATGGTGGTGGTGGTGGTGGCAGAGTTGGGTCCAGCCCTGCTTTTTGGCTTGGCCAAAGCTGCCCTTTGTTTCACTTTGTTCCATTGCTTGCTTTGCTCCACTTCCTCCGGCCATCCTGTGCCTTGGCCAGTCTCTCTGCATCTCTCTCTGACTTGTTGCACAGGCTCTCTCCTCACTCTGAGGACAGCAGGCTTCCTTCCAGTTGCCTCACTGTCATTGTCCTTTTCCTCATTCCTTCTCCTTCACTTTAACATTCCTCATACCTCCATTGGCTTGACCTCAGCTGCCTTGCCAATTATTTAATTTATTTACTTATCTATAGCCCACCTTTTCCTCCAAGGAGCTCAAGGTGGTATACATGGTTCTTCTCCCCCTTTTTTCATTTATACCCCACAACAACTCTGAGGGAGGTTAAGCTGAGAGGCAGGGACTGGCCCAAGGTCACAAGCAGTGAGCTTAAATGGCCAAGTTGCAATTTGAACCCTGGTCTCCCAGGTCCTAGTCCAACACTCTAACCTGCACTGCAATAGCCCTCCCTCCCTCCCCTCCCTCCCAAGATGTCTTCCCAGCCTACAGCTGGCGCAGCAACACTATTTGTGCCCTTGATTTGACTCAGAGCTAAATGGACCAGTTTTTATGTCATGCCACTGAAGTTGACTTGAAAACATTAGTTGTTCCATGAAATCCTCACATTCCATATTTTTATTATGCCAATCTGTGCTGCAAGACTAGAAGATAGAGGGTTGGGCCCCCCCAGGAAATCTCCACTTGGACATGTTCAGCTGGATGAGTTGCTCTCCAATTTGTGTGCTGTTTCAAAGTGCTACATAAACACTTCACTGTGTAAATCAGTGCCAGGACTGCTTAACATTGTAGGGCGTAGAAGTAAGAGATGGCAGAACCCTTTGCAAATTGAAAAGGGGTATAGCAATGAGGCATTTAATTGCTAACCCCTTTATAATTGTTAATAATCTTCCTATTCTTAGTTCGCCTTTATCAGGGCTCGCTCCCCCCATCAGAACTCAGCCACTGCCATTATAAGAGAACAAGGGTGGTGTTCATGCTGAGTTACAGCACCTCTTTTTCTAGAAAAATAGCACTGCCCCTTATAACCCCATCTTCTTCTGCCCCCCAGATCTGGAGGATTCTCTATTTGCATTTCTTTACGTTAAAGTAGGAAGGCTGTCAGCTGACCAGGTGTGTTGTTTACCTGCGATCCAGGTCTGACCCGTTAGGAGATGCATCAGAACGCAAAGTTGCAGCTGGAAGACCTCTTTCCTGCAGAGAGACAGAGATGGCTATGAAACTGTTTCAAGGCAGGGGAGGAGGAAAGCATGAAATGAATAAGAGAGAGGAAGAGCTGCAGAAGGAAAGGCCCAGCTTGTTTCCAACCAAGTTCTCATCACCCATTCCCAAGGTGCCTCTATCCATCACTGACCACTTTCTTGGAAGGAACTGATGAGTGAAAAAGGATTTTGGATTTAATGAAATTTGCATGCCCTGCCCTCAACCAGTTTTAGTAGAACTACGTTCTTCCAATAGTCTTTTAAAAGCAGTGGCTTGAAGCCACCCCCCAAATGCAAAAGCCCCACCCCACCCCTCTGGCCCCGGGAGTGCTTTAGGGCGGGGAGTGTGGGCTCAGTGAGAACATGGCACACCGTGAGATTTCTGGGAGCTCATGACCTCTGGTCCCCTGACTTCCAGAAATTAACACGGGGCACAAGCAATCCATCTGTGCAAGCCCAACTGAAGTGAGTGTCACCCCTGCTGCTCTGCCCCAGCTCCCACCCCTCTAAACGGGATTGCTGGCAGCAGGTGAACTGTTGGGCAAACTTTGCCCTCAAAGCACCACACTGGTTTGACTCCCACTCTGCTGCCACCGGTAACAGCATCCAAAATCTGCTGCCTCTCACCTTGCTCACGGTAGGGCGGCCTCTGATGACTCCACTGAACTGGAGCCTTCTTGCAGGAAAAAAGTGAAGTGTGTATATCAGACATAGGCATAGTACGGAAGACAGGCATTTACGAGTCCTGAATAACCCAGAACATTGTTCATCTTGGCTCTTCTGAATGCTCTTCAGCTCATCTCAGAGAGGCAGCACTGTCGGGTTTTTGCATTGGGTTTATCAACTTGCCCTTTCCAAAAAGGTTCACAGGGCAGCTGGTGGGTGATTGCTGGCCACAGCTCAGGATCCTTCCCCAAATCCTTTCAAGTGCATAAGGGCCTAACACTATGCATTCCACCCAAGAGCAGGAAAGGCTGTTCCATGCGGAGTGCAGAGGGGTGATTAACCCTTTCTCCACCACCCACTGCATCTCCCACTCCCATGCTTTCCCTCCCACTGGGTTTCAAACGCCTCTTTGCCTCCCCAAGAAAAACAGCTCCGCCCAGCTGGTGGATTTACTGCTGAGGAACTGGACAATGGTCTTCTGAGAAGTGTTTTAGTGCAGAACTTCATTTCCTGCAACTAGAAACAATCTGATAGGAACAGTTTAAAATTAGAAGGGCAAAAACCTAAGTACCCATTTGTGATATTCAAATGACCCCATTTGCAATATCCTCTGCCTGGAGGCAGCCCAGGATAGTTTTGCGGCAAGAAAGATTGCATCCAGTGTCAGCAACAGAAGAGATTTAAGGTTGTTCTTGAAATCCTGAACATCCCTAGGATCACTGTGAGCCACCTAAATGCTCATAATATCTCCAAACTGCAAGCTCTAAATGGCAACCTGGAGTATCACTGGGTGTGCCTGGGGCCTTAAAGTGGTGCCTCTGCAGAGCCCTCCTGCACCATCATGTGAGCTGGGTATGTTTAGCCTGGAGAAGAGGAGACTGAGAGATGAAAGGACAGCCATCTTCAAATAACAAAAGGAAGATGGAACAAACTTGTTTTCTGCTGCTCCAGAGTGCAAACCTCAAACCAAAGGATTCGAGTGACAAAAAAGGAGATTCTGACTAAACATTAGGAAAGACTTTGTGATGGCAAGAGCTGTTTGACAGTGGAATTTATCTGAAGAACTGGAGGCAGAGAATATCCTCAAAGCACCCAAATGCTCTGTCTGCCTCCTCATCCCCACCCTGCAAACATGCACACATTACTTCAAGCTGCAACGTGAAGTCAAGTTATGTCTCATTCTCTCCATGGGTTAGTGTGATTAGTAACCAACAAAAGATAAAGCCCCACTGAAATGAAGGGGAAATATGCAAGAAGACACGCCCCCTCCTCTTCTTGGCCAGTTCCAGTTCAGTTCAGTGGCTCTTGTGTTTCTGGTCAAGCATGTCCAAAGGTTTTTAAGTTGCTGAGTTAGCTGTTAATTAAATATCTGACAGCGCGTGAGCATGTTACTTACTGGAAATGCAATGTATACTGTTTTGGGGTTCAGATGGGACAGGGTCCAGTGGGATGGTTATGACAGAGGGAGTGGGGAGCTTGGGCTGGGAGAAAAGGGGAAAGAGAGACAGTGAACAACTCCAGTGGTGCTGACAGGTTCAGGTTTATCATGGCAGGCCAGACACAACACTCAACCCAAAGGAAAACACATACAATCTGGGTATTTGGAATACATCACATCCTCCACAAGATAGACTCAGATTCATAGGAGAAGCTGGGCAGAAAATCAGCCATGACTTTTCCAAAGCACTTCTCATAATAAATTAAAACTCTTTCACAGGGACTGTAGTAATGTTGTTTCAGTTTGAAAACTTTGGTCACTCAAAAACAAACTAAGTAAAAAAACCCCTCAATTTAAAAATAAGAACAAACTTGATAAGAAATTCATTGCTGGGGCACTGAATTGTCATAGGTAAAGGTAAAGGTACCCCTGCCCGTACAGGCCAGTCTTGACAGACTCTAGGGTTGTGCGCCCATCTCACTCAAGAGGCCGGGGGCCAGCGCTGTCCGCAGACACTTTCCGGGTCACGTGGCCAGCGTGACAAGCTGCATCTGGCGAGCCAGAGCCGCACATGGAAACGCCGTTTACCTTCCTGCTAGTAAGCGGTCCCTATTTATCTACTTGCACCTGAGAGTGCTTTCGAACTGCTAGGTTGGCAGGCCTGAATTGTCATAATGTGTATTAAATTGTTGAATTGTTTATATATTTAAATAACCAAACCATTATTTTTGAGAGAAAGGCATTTTCATGAATGCAATGGGCTGGTGAATTATTCTTTCTTTTACAAAAAATTAAATTGCATACATTGAAACATACTAGGTGTACATCAGGTCTTTGAACTTCCATTGCTTTGGTTTCTGGTGCTTAAGAACATCAGAAGAGCCTGCTGGATCAAGTCAAACTGGGCCCATCTAGTCCAGCATCCTGTTCTCACAGCAGCCAGCCAATACCTGTGCGAAACCTGGAAACAGGACCTGAGCACAAGAGCAACTCTCCCCTAATGTGGTTTCCTGCAACTGTTATTCAGAAGCATGGCTGCCACCAGTTGTGGAGGCAAAGCAGAGCTACCCTGGCAAGTAACCATTGATAGGCTTTCCTCCAGGAATTTGTCTAAACTTCTTTTAAAGCCATCCAAGTCGGTGGCCATCCCTGCCTCCTGTAGGAGCAAGTTCCATGATTTAGCTCTGCACTGAGTGAAGAAGCACTTTCTTATGTGGAAACACTATATATGTGGCAATGGATCTCAAATGGTCCAAAGAGGTAGTGCTTCTTTTCAGAGAAGAACTGCTCCTTGCTTTGACTCTAATGAGTGCCAATGCAGGCCATTTAATGCAGGGTTCAGCCACCTTTTTCAGCCGTGGGCCGGTCCACTGTCCCTCAGACCTTGTGGGGGGCTGGACTACATTTTGAAGAAAAATATGAATGAATTCCTATGCCCCACAAATAACCCAGAGATGCATTTTAAATAAAAGCACACATTCTACACATGTAAAAACACGCTGATTCCTGGACCATCCGCAGGCCGAATTTAGAAGGCAGATCCAACCCCCAGGCCTTAGTTTGCCTACCCATGAGTTAATGGGTCTGGCTGGCAAGAAAGAAACACATGTCCCACCACACTGCCCCCAAGCGTCACGGACACACCTCGTCACTGCTATCATCCTCCCCTTTGTTGCCTTTCTTCTTTTTCTTCTTCTTGTCATCCTCCTTCTTCTTATCCTTTTCAGGGATGATGTTATCAATCCATGCGAGGTCATGTTGGGAAAAGACAAGGTCTAGCATCTTCCGGACTAAAATCAAGGCTAAAATCTAAAAGGAGAGAGAGAGAAAGAGAAAGAGAGAGAAAGGAAAACAAAAACCCACCAAGACAAGGCTCAAATAATCTAGCATGAAGACTATGAGTTGTTTAGAATCTAAGTACCCAAAGTGCAATGAATGAGATCAAATTTCAGTGGGTTACAGGTTGATTCCTTGCGGGGGCTGATTCTGTGGCAGACCTGGGTTGGTGTAGAAGCAGCAGCAAGAGAAGAACTCCTGGCTATGATACTGGCAGTCCAAATTCTTAGGAGGGGATGCAATTTGGAGTGGGAGTTCATTCATGTTTCTTACTCCTTGCCCAAAATTTCACATGTGGAAGGCACAGAAAGGCTGGTTTTGGGCCTGGCACTTTCCATCTCATCGGTGGAACCATTTTTCTTTTGCAGCCTGACTCAGACAAAGAGATGGTCTACAGAATAACTGCTTCCCATCCCACAGAAACAGAGATATATTTCTCTCTCTGGACAGAAGTTGGCATTCACTGCTTAATTTCATCCAACAACCTGGAGCCCTGGTTTGGTCTACAACTCCCACCAGTGCTGGCTGGGGCTGCTGGGAATTGTAGTCCAAGACATCTGAAGGGCACCAGGCTGGGGAAGGTTGCCTTCTTTTTTATGCAATAATTTTTATTGGTTTTATAAATGAACACAAACTGTAAAAAAAACCCAAATCTATATAAAGAGATTCTCTGAATCTTGAGACTTCCCCCCATCCCCCCCATGGGGTCTTATTTAAGACATCTACAACTGCATATTCAGCCGTACTCCAATTTTTATATCAAACCATATTGTCCATCATATTTTTACACTACCAATGATCAAAATCCTGGGGAAGTTGCTTTCTTTAGTAACAAAAGAACTCTGAATAAGACACATTTTGGGCAACAGATCATTGGCTTTGTGGGTGGATGTGCACATCTCAGAACCTTCTCCCAGTGGGCCCTAGAACAGGAGACAACAGTGAACATAGCTGCCTACCATCACAGGGAAGATTATGGCTGCCACAGTGGATTTCAGGATCCAGAGGATAGCCAGACAGACAATCTGAACCATGGTGAACAGGTGGATTCGCCGCAGAGGGACATGCCTGAGGTAGACGTAGTCAGGCTGGTGTTTGGCTGGCATCAGGAAGAGCTTGCAGCGATCCCAAAACTGTTGGGGGAAATGGAAGGATTAGTTCTGGGGGGTGGCCAGTGATGAGGAGTGGCAAAGATATTGAAGAAATCATTGAAGGTTCTGTTAAATGCCAACAATGTACAGTGGAACTTCGGGTTACATACCATCCTCCTTCGGGTAATGAGCTCCGCTAACCCAGAAGTAGATGCCCCTAGTTGCAAACTTTGCCCTGGGATGTGAGCGGAAGTCGTGCGCCAGTGGTGTGGCAGCAGTGGGAGACCCCATTAGCAAAAGCGTGCCTCATGTTAAGAACGGTTTCAGCTTAAGAACAGACCTCCGGAATGAATTAAGTTCATAACCGGAGGTACCACTGTACAAGGATCTGTGCTAAGCACAGAATTTTATAAAGTCCATTTTCTTTTTTTTCCTTTTTTTTAATTGATTTTAATTCGTTTTGCTACATCAAACATTAAAACAAACGAAAGAAACATATATAACACATACACACAAAAAAGAAATACATAAAAAGAGAAATAATAATAAAGAAAACAAAAGAAAAAATATCTCCTAACATAAGATACCAACAAATTAGGTTGCATTTACTAAATAACACACAACACTAATTGACTTCCCTTCATCTTGGTTTCAGAATATATTATATGATTTTTTATCTGCAGTTTCTTTTCCTCAAAAAACTCTTTACATCACAAGTGTTATGTCACACCTACTGTGATTTTTAGATTTTTTACCTCTGTTTCCATGTATGTCATAAATTAATTCCATTCTTTGTTAAACTTTATGTCTTTTTGATTTCTTATTTTCTGTGTCATTTTTGCCAATTCTAAATAATCAAATAGTTTGGATTGCCACTTGTTTATAGTTGGGATTTTTGATGTCTTCCAATTCTGCGCTATTAGAGTTCTAGCAGCCACTGTCGCGTACTGAAAGAGTTATAAAGTCCATTTTCTGTGGGCTGCCGTTAGGGTTGGCTCAGATGCAGGTCAGCACTCAAATGCAGAAATGAGCAGGAAGTTTAATTTTTTATTCAAGGAAAGAGTAAAGAACGCAGGGAACCTTCAAGGCAGGACCAGGCTCTATAGCACAGTTGTCAGGACTGACGGTTCCTGCTTCCCGCTTCCCCCTAAAACCACTCTTCCTCCAGAGGCCACCAACACAGACATACCGGTAAGCTATGGTGGGAGGGAACTTTGCCTGCTTGGCCTTTTCAGGAATAGGAAGAAGCTGTGCACTGTGATGCTAATTATCTCCATGGCCGGCAACTGCCTTCTTCCTCCCCGCCTCCTTTCCGACATTGTAATATACCACCATATCACGAAGTCTAGCTGGCTGTATATTACTATGTTGGAAAGCAGATATTGCCCAGCCCTAATGCATAGCTCTTCGTGTTCTTGGAGGTAACGGGGGGGGGGGGGGGAGCCTAATACAGCAAGACAGGCAAGCTCCTGGGAAGCTCCCCGTGCAGAGTCTGAACCACTATCTGCCCTTGACTCTTCCCTCTCGCTCACGCCTGTTGCTTCTTCAGCAGCCCACCATCCCTCCCCTCCTTTGTCTCCTGACTGTCCTCAGTGTCCCACCCCCACCCCCAGAGCTTGTACCTTTGTCCTCTGAGGCTTCCCTAGGGGATTTGCCAGCTGGTGCCTCCCCCCACTCCTCACCAGCCAGCCAGTCCCTGACAGCTTGGTAGTGGGGCTGGCATCTATAGATGGAGCAACCAGGCGCCTGCACCTCAGCAGTAGCCCCACGGACAAGGATCCCCTGGGCTTGGTGCAGTAAGGAGATGGGTTCCCTGAAACAGGTGGGCCTGTGGTTGGTGCCTTTGCCCATGGGACCTCCAAGAACTCTGTGGAAATGTAGCCTATACTTTTCTGAGCAAACTATTCCATTGCTAAGTAGAAACCTGGCCACTTACGCAATAACCTGAGTTGGTAGATAAAGGTGGTGATTGCCAAAATCATTATGAAGTTGCCAGAACAATTCATGTTCTTACCTGGATGCCATTTAGCGAGGCCACTCCCATGTAGAGGAAGACTCCATACAGCACAGGCATTGGGATGTACTGTGGAGAGAGAGAGAGAGAGAGAGAGAGAGAGAGAGAAAGGCAGGTGAGGCCTCCTCTTTATCAGACATTTCCACAAATGCTTTTGCAAGGGCTGCTAAGGCATGTTCCCTTGATTAACCTGCCTTTTAAATGATGAATCACTGAAGGCTGCAACACTATGAATGCTCACATGTGAGTAAGATTTTGTGAACATGGCAGGATTTATATCTGAGTAAATATATATAGGGCTGAACTGAAATTAATCTGATGTAGATGTTCAGATTGGGCCAAAGCTTTGGATAAAAATAAGAAACCACATGCTAAACTTATGCTGAAGATGATGACAAAAATCTCAGGAATGTGTTACCTTTAGAATAGGAGCCAGGAAGACAGAAATCCCAGTCAGAACAAAGACAATGATTCCCGTGATTCTCTGCTCCCTGAAAAAGAACAGAAGCAGTGAAATTGAGGATTTAACTGTTACCACATTCTCTGTTTGTGGTTACAGCACAGCCCCATGAATGTTGACTCGGAGAGCATTCAGTGGAGCTTACCTCCAGGTAAGTGTGCACAGGATAAAGCCTAAAATTTTTGCGATGCTCTACTAGAGGTCATTACTGTGCATGGATCGGTTCCTCCCATGCCTAGCATAAGTACTGTTAAGAGTGTCTGTTGGTGTATGGCTGAGAAATGATCTACAAATTTAGTAAGAAACAAACAAACAAACAAACAAACAAACATTGTTGTACTGTTGACTCGAATGGCAGAACTGCTTAGGATTCTGATTACATTATGCTGATGGCCAGTTTTAGTGGCTGCTAGCAAAACAGGACCATCGAACTTAGATCTAAGCAAGGTGAACAGGAGGCAGCCAGAAACACAGTCTGGTGGACTGCAAGATGTGTGACAGGCCTGCTATAATAATATGCCCCCCAAAACCCTCATGGTCAAGGAGGAACGTATGTAGAGCACTGTTACATTGCACTTCTATTCGCAACTGCCCTTTACAGGTGAGTTCAAGGAACCCTCACCTCACTCCCAGGAACTGAGGCTGCTCTCCTGGTGCACTGGTCTCTGTCTCCATCTTTAAGCTGTCAATGTGTGCGATGGAAATGACTGTGGCTGCTACATACCATGGTAGCCCCATGAATGAGCAGACCGCCATAAGGATGCCCACCCAAAAGAGGTCCAGATGATAGCCTGCAGCTTTCTGAAACAAAAGGACACACTGTTTTCATAGAAGGAAATGGATTCTACCTCTTTAGCCAAAAAAAGCTCTCAATATACCCAACACATTAGAACTAGGATTTGTGGAGGATGCTGGGACCCTAAGGCTAAGCATTTGTAACAACTTATCTGTTTGAAGGGACGCGGGTGGTGCTGTGGGTAAAAGCCTCAGCGCCTAGGGCTTGCCGATCGAAAGGTCAGCGGTTCGAATCCCCGCGGCGGGGTGCGCTCCCGCTGCTCGGTCCCAGCGCCTGCCAACCTAGCAGTTCGAAAGCACCCCCGGGTGCAAGTAGATAAATAGGGACCGCTTACTAGCAGGAAGGTAAACGGCGTTTCTGTGTGCGGCTCTGGCTCGCCAGAGCAGCGATGTCACGCTGGCCACGTGACCCGGAAGTGTCTCCGGACAGCGCTGGCCCCTGGCCTCTTAAGTGAGATGGGCGCACAACCCTAGAGTCTGTCAAGACTGGCCCGTACGGGCAGGGGTACCTTTACCTTTTACCTATCTGTTTGAAAAACTAGAGAAATTAAGGCACAGCCAGAAGTATGGTCAGGTATAACAATGGGCCGGTGGAAAAAAGAGCTGTGATAACTCCTGTCTGCTTCAAAGTGGCAGAGAATCTGTTTTGAATACAGAAGGTTTAATCTCCAGCATCTCCAGGTAAAGCTGAGAACAATACACAGGACACACAAAAGGGAATGCCAGACCCAACCTCTAAAGGGTCAGCTGAGCCACAAAATTGGGCTGGAGCAAAAGAAAATGTATGGATTGCTATTAAAATTCATATAAAACAGAATTCAAGTTTAATCTTCCCCAAAATTTAACGATACATAAACAATGAATGAAATTTCTAAAATGCAATAATTATAAGGTAAAACATAAAGCTAAAGGACCCTTGGACAGCTAAGTTCAGTCAAAGGCGACTATGGGGTTGCAGCGCTCATCTTGCTTTCAGGCCGAGGGAGCCAGCATTTGTCCACAGACAGTTTTCAGGGCCATGTGGCCTGCAAGACTAAACCACTTCTGGCGCAACTGAACACCGTGACAGAAACCAGAGTGCACGGAAACGCCATTTACCTTCCCACCACAGCAACATCTACTTGCGCTGGCATGCTTTCGAACTGCTAGGTTGGGAGAAGCTGGGACAGAACAACGAGAGCTCACTCTGTCACAGGGATTTGAACCACCAACCTGATTGGCAAGTCCAAGAGGCTCAGTAGTTTAGACCACAGCGCCACCCATGTCCCTAATAATTATAAACACAGCAATGATAAAATGAATGCTGCTGGCCACGGGCACTTCAACCCACAAGGGGTCTTCCTCAGCAGCCAATAAATAAAGAAATTACAGAGGTGTTGCCAGAAGTAAACATTTGACTGATCTAAACAGATACGGTGAGCTGACCAATTGTTCCACCAAATAATTCTGCATGCATGGGAAGCCTGGAGATGAATGGATTGATAGAGAACAGGAATTTTTCTATTGCCCAATCATGTATATTTTGAGGGTATTCTCCAGGGTTCTGAATATCAATCGTCACCCACCAACAAGTATTCATCATGGGTTGTATTTTAGAAATTTCATTCATTTTTTTAATGTATGTTTATATTTTCAGATTAACTTTAAGATTAAAGTTGAATTCTATGTTATATAAATCTTAGCAGCATTCCATACAAATCCTTTTGCTCACACCCAGTTTTCTGTCAGGTTGTTGTTGTTCCTGTGTCAAACCTGGGGAGCATGGAATCTTTATGCAAACTTGCGGATAAATGATCAAAGAGATTAATAGAAGGGGAAATGTTTCCCTGGAGGCAATGGGATTACTGAGAGGGGCGTTAAGAGCCAAGGGGTGCTGGAGGTCTAATGACTATCAAACTTTGAAAAACTGGCATCACTGGATCAATCCATCAATGTTGTTGCATAGTTTTAATTGGATTTTGCATAACTTCACAATTAATTGTAAGGGAAGATTATTCATTGCATTTATATCTCACCTTTTCTCCAATGAGCTCAAGGTGGTACACATGGTTTTGTTAGGAGCGTCCTACTCACGTGTAGGACCCTGGCAGAGATACATGCCCAACTGGCATGTTCTCTCTCTCCTGGTCGATCATTTGGGAGCTTCAAAAGCTTCTTCCAACCTGAACATCACAGCAACTGATGCCAAAAGGCATTAGCACACTTAGGGATCCGCAGAGTATTCACATTTTGGGTAACAGAACCAAAGCACAGCATTTTGGCTAATCTACTTTATTTACATAGAATACACTTGGAGCATTCTGCTTTAGCTCCTTCCTCTTTCTCATCAGACAGCAAAGAGGGAAAGAACAAAGGACAATAGTCCCACTTCAGGGAACACAGTGATACCAAAACATCCTGTCTCTGTCACTTCCCACACTGTGGAATGAAAACATACACCGTCATGTGATAGACAACAATCCCATGACTGCAGACATGGGGAATGTATCTCCAACAGGTTTTCCCCCTGCCCATTTAGTCCCCCTGACAACCCTGTGAGGTAGGTCACCCAGTGATTTATAGGACGTCTGAGAGGGAATTGAAACCCTGATCTGGCACTCTTAACACCACACTGACAACTTCTACTTCTAGACTCCACAAAGATTCCTGGGAGAGTTAATCCCGGGGCCATGGGTTCAAGCCTCACATTGGGCAAAAGAATCCTGCATCATAGGGGGTTGGACAATATGACCCTTTGGGTCCCTTCCAAGTCTACAGTTCTTTGAATCTATGAATGTTATTATCTTTCTTAGTTGGTTGTGCAAACTACTGTTCTGAATAATGCTTTTTATAGGGAAGGAGGGAGTGGAGATGGGTTTATGGAACCAAGGGGGCAGGGCCCCCCCCAGATATTTGAGAGCCACTGGTATAGACAACACTGAGCCAGATGGAGAAGTGGTCTGACTTTGGATAAGGCAAAGTTCTATGTTCCTGGCCTTGTATACTGATCCTATCCATTTCCTTTTCCAAATGAGTGGGCCTTTGAACTCCATGCCCACCAGGGCTCCATCATCAATGCCTTCTTCCAGGTTTCACAGCAGACAGTTTTCTCTCTCTCAGTGGGTTCAGTATTGGTGAACACCCAAGTTGCAAGGCAAGGAAAGGAAAGCATACCCGGAGCTTGTGCTCCTTCCTGTTCACTATGACGGCTGTAATTTGCTGGTCCATGAAGATCAGGATGGTGACCAAGAGAGCGGGGAGCGCGCTGGCCAAGTAGATCCACCAGGGATTCTTGCCAAATGGGAACACAAACCATCCACGGTCTAAGCGAGTGGGCTGTAAATGCAGTTCAAAGGTAGAAGGTTACCTATCACCACACTACGAGTACGGTACACAAGACTGGCGCCAGGAGCCCTACATGTCTCGTATGCTGCCTCACAGCACAGGTCTGCCGTGTGTGGGAGGGCGATTTCTCTCTCACTTCAGATTTCAGCATCAAAAGTGCTCAGATGGAAAGCAGAAATGTAGCTGGACAGGGGAAGCCCAAGAGCACAGGATATGGTGGTGGGATGGAGGGGCTGTTAGATGGCCCATGCAGGCCTATACAGTATCTTAAGACATATTGAAACAAACAATAAGAAAGGTTGAAATGAATTGATTACTTCAGTGCAAATTTATCAGGGGTAAGGTGGAGGCACCGGGGCTATGGGCATGGGCAAGAAAATACTTGATTTGCACAAATTAAGTGAACCAAAAACACTGCTATCCCTGGAAATTCTTCTTTTTCTGAATTCAGCAGTGCAGTTCTCCAACCAAATAACATGCACAGAAATATACATATTAGGGGAAAGTGTGGACAGAAAGGCAGGTAGCCGAGAAAACAGAATAAAGGTATGCATTATGCTAGGGGAATGTGTATACTGGGCAAGATTGCATTAAAATGTGTGCGTGAAATGAAATAGGAATGCAGACAATTTTTAATGAGGACTTCTTCAAAAATGGAAATTGATGTGGAAATGTGAAGAACCAAATTTAACATTAGAAAAATGGAACCGCAAAAAAATGAAATTGACTAATTCATCCAGTTCTAGTTGGGGCAAGTTGGCGTTTTGATCTGATCTACCTCTATGATGGTCTCATTCATTGATTTTACCTTAAAATCTGTAGGCACTTGTAGTTTTGGAGTATTCAGTCCAAAAAGACAATCAAGACCAACAAACATTAGTATGGACATGAAGATAGAGAAATCACTAATAAGCTTTCGGAGCTAGAAAAGGAGCAAAGGGAGAGGAGACATACCAGAAAGAAAGCAGAAAGGGGCCGTGTTAGAAATTCAATAAGAGAGAAAGAAAAGATTTCAGTTAAGAAATTGTTTTAAAACAAACAAACAAATTCTTATTCTACTTTGAAGGGAGAGAGAGCCATCATTTACGAATATTCGTTACAATACATTTTTTCAGCATACTGGGGTCTGAATTAGGGCAACGGCTGGTCCAGATCATTCTGCCCTCCCCAATCCCTTTCAAGCCCAACTTGCTTTGCAGGCTCTGAGTTCAGCTTTCGCTGAGACACTGAAAATCCTACATGCAACTCTCAGTCCTTGATCTTTCAAATCTGACACCCCTGCCCTCTTGCATGTGCACTATCATCAAGGTTGTGGCGCCCAGTGGTGTCCCTCTTGGCTTGGCGCCATGTGTGTGGAACTGGTGGCGCTGCCCTAAATCTGCCTCTGGCTTGAGGTTACCCCATTCCTGAGATATACCAGTTCACTTTGACCCTTGGTTGTTGTTCAAGTAACTGGGCCAGCCAACCACAAAGCAGTAACGAAACCTTGAGGCTACACAGAGAAGTTTTTGGAAGCGAGCAAGCAAAGGGGTGGAGCATTAGGAGATAAGAGCACATCAAAACCCACAAGGGAATCCGAACCTTAATTATACTGGGCACATGCAATTTGGGAGTATCCAGTCCCAGACAGGCATCTATTCCACAGAAGAACAGGATGGAGAAGACAATGGAAAAATCAGCAATCAGGGCCCTGACCTAAAAAAAGAGGAGACAGGGTTTGGAAGGAAAAGGCAAATGAAGTGGAGTGATGACACAGAGGGAACCTTGACATCATTTTTGCTGCCACACAGGTAAGCAGGAAGGGGAGCCATCTGCAGGTTTGCAGCTTCTGAGAGCTAGATGAGCAGACACACAGAGGTTTCAAGCTCAGGCTGGTTAAAGCAACTGGTTCACACCTCATTTTATTTCAGTTTCACACCCCATTGGCTCAGAAGAAATCATTGCCTTTTTTCTGTATAAATGTGCCTTCTCTTAGAGTTGGAAGTGCTTTTTCTTACTAAATTTGTGCAACTGTTTTAAACTGTAACCCTGCTTAGGGTGAAGGGCAGGCAAATAAAAATAAAAATAATACAATTGTACCCACCTTGATCTAGTTGGGGGGAGTGTTGGATAGAACTGATTAACATGTAGCCTATAGATCTGTGGGGGACCCAAAATGTTTTCTTCCTAACGAGACTCTTAATCTCTGGGTCATGGGTTTGAGCCCCATGTTGGGCAAAAGGATTCCTGCACTAGACCCTCGGGATCCCTTCCAACTCTACACTTCTATGATCAGTCCCCCCCCCCCCGGTCTTCTGTGCCCCCTTGCAGAGCTCACTGCTGGATTCAGGCTTGGATGCATGTCACTTTCCTGATAGTACTTCCAGCGGATCAACTTGTATTTTGTGATTGAAAAGTTTTGCTTTTGGAGTATAGAGCTGTCTTCCCCAAATTGTTGCCCTCCAGATGTTTTGGATTACTATTCCCATCAGCTTCCAGCCATCTTATCAGTGCTAGCTGGGGCTGATGGAAGTTGTAGTCCGATACACCTGGAGGGCACCAGGTTGGGGAAGGCTACTTGAGAGGATTTGTGGTTTTACTTACCTTTGTAGGAAAGTAGCGACTGAACTTGAATTTTTTCAGAGTCAAAGTCATGGAATAAGTCCCAAAGAAGAGAATGAAAGACATGAGGGCCAGGTCAGGGACGAATTTGCAGGACTTCCCCACCAGACTTCCTCCATATTTCAGACATTCCTTTTTGCTCAGCTGGGTCCAGTCCAGAGCTGTTACATTAATAGGATTGTACTTGAAAGATGGAAGAAAACAAACCACAGTATTTTTACGATGCTAAACAAGAATTTGTTTTCATTGTCAAGTAAAATGCTGTTGGTCTTAAAAGGCACAAATCTCTTGAATTCAGAAGATTAACAATGTTCCTAATCACTGTCCTGTCTGAAAAGCATCAGAGGGAAGTGTAGAGTATATACTAGAAAATGAAATATTAGTAGTAGCAGAATCGACTGGTAATACAGTTTTTCAAGGTTGCACAAAGTTCTTTTGAAACTTTTGTTTTGCTTTGTACAGTGTTTAAATTCTTATTTATTTTATTTTACATTTCTTACTGGATTATTTTAACTTCGTAATAAAGTCTTGAAAATTGAAGAAAAGTTATTTTGAAGATTATCACAATTAACATTCACACCCTCTTCAACAAGTTTAACCTATCTAAAAACATTTTGGATTGCTCTGATTTATATGAGCAATCATACTCCACTCCTTTGCCATTTGTAATCAATGAAATAACACTACCAAATCCCATGGAAAAAAGCAGCTGCAGGGTTCGAAGGCAGATAAAGAGTGAAGAATCCGCTCAACAATGCAAAATACCCACTGGGTGGCAGCAGTCATCGTTGTTCAACTAGGTACCTGGAAATGTTGGTTGATTCATAGCACAGTTCTATGATTTAAACAACTTCTCAGGTGTGCTCAAGGGAGTTTGCTCCTGTGCTTGCCTCTGGCTACCTGATGTATTTGTAGTTGGTAGGAAATTTTAATTTTGCCATCCTAGCTGGGGCTGATGAGCATTGTAGTCTAAAACATCAGGGGAGTGGGGACTTAATCAAAACCTTTTTCCTCAGCTTAATCTACATGCTTTGTAGATTCACCTTGATATAAAAAAGGTAAAGGTAAAGGATCCCTGACAGTTAAGTCCAGTTGCAGACGACTGTGGGGTTGCGGAGCTCATCTTGCTTTACAGGCCGAGGGAGCTGGCGTTTGTCCACAGACAGTTTTTCCTGGCCAGCATGACTAAGCCGCTTCTGGCGCAACGGAACGCCAAAATCAGAGCAGCGCACAGAAACACCGTTTACCTTACCCTTCCCTATTTATCTACTTGCACTTTGACGTGCTTTTGAACTGCTAGGTTGGCAGGATCAGGGACCGAGCAACGGGAGCTCACCCCATCGCAGGGATTTGAACTGCTGACCTTCTGATCGGCAAGCCCAAGAGGCTCAGTGGTTTAGACCACAGCGCCACTCGCATCCCTCACCCTGATATAGGGTGCATTTAATCTGATATAGAATATGCATGTTTGCTTTGCTGTGTCAGGGCTGTTCCCAATGTCTTGATTGTCCTTTGAAAACACTTGGTCAGAAAGTGAAAAAGAAATGGCTGAATTCTCTCCTTCTTTTATTCGTTTACTTCTTAATAGATTTTTTTACTGCCCTTCACCAAAAATGGCTGCAGGGGCCATAAATAAGATTTTTAAAAAAGACAATAAGCAAAACATTAACATAGTTCTCATAAATTACATTAAAATGTAATTAGCATCATCATTCAAATGACAAACCATCAGCCTCTGAAAGCCTGACCAAATAAGGTATGTCTTCACTTGGCCTTCAGAAGAATTATGGAATCATAGAATTGTAAAGTTGGAAGGGACCTGAAGGGTCATCTAGTCCAACCCCCTGCAATGCAGGAATCTCAGCTAAAGCATCCATGTCAGAATATAAACATGGGAGGGAGGCCATTCAATGGGCACAGAGCCACCACGGAAAAGGCTCTTCTGCTCCGCTCCACACTAGAGCATCTCCTCTGACACAGAGACCACCAGGGAGGCTGCTCCTCTGATCTTAGTGCCTGAGTAGGTCAATGCAAGACTTGAATGTCAACAGAAACACACTGAACTTGGCCTGGTTATTGTTGAGATGTCAGAAAAGAAAGATTTATAAATGCAAGCAAAGAGTTCTGCCTTCATGGGAGTAGCCCTGATTCCACTGGCTTTATCTAATTTTGCCTACTCTATGGAGTTAGGTAAAACATGTAAACAAATATGCAAGCACCAGTTATTATATATGGGAGGGGAGGCAGAGTAGAAAATAAATCCCAGCTACTTACCACAGAAATGTTAGTGTTGTTTGGGGCCAGTGGAACTGAAGCATTGAACAATGTTGTATTCACTGCAGAAAAGGAGTTAGTTAAGATTTTAAAAATATATATTAAAGAAAAAGTCTCACTCCAGATAGGAAATCTTGCTTAACAAGCCATTGTTCTCTCCACTGGCTTGAACTGTTTCGAATAATCCCTATTTTATAGGCAAAGCAGAAGCACAATCCAAATTCAGTTACAAATTCCAGGGTGGGATCCAGAATCTCCAGTCAGTTGCATGATGAGGCATGAAGCTTGAAACGTTGACAAAACTCTGACCAAATTTGGGGATGCAATTACAGATTCTTTATGGTGGGTTAACAAGGAAATGCCTTTCTGCCTGAATGAGGTTTGGCAAGTTGGAGAACAAATGCCCTGGTTCTAACTCCAGCAAAAACTTCTCCCCGATTAACATAATGTATGGCTTTCCAATTTGTCTTCAGGGGTGACTTCCAAAGGCCAAATTAGATGCCTCCCAGATACCCAAGGTGTCTTTTGGCGCATATTGAAACAGTTGACCTTATATAATAGCTACAGGGTATCAAGGCTGCTCAAGAGACGGCATGGCTGAGAGGCAATGGTCCAATTCAGATCAACCCGGAGGATTGGATCTACAACTGCACGGAAAACTCTCCATCTTGGAAGAGGCAGTGACTGATCCTTATTTGATCCCATATTTGCTTCCAGACATCCTGGCTGCCAAGCAAGGCTGGCTACAAAAACACAACTATCTCAAAAATAAAAAGCCATTTACAACCGAGAGCCAGTGTAATGTGATGGTGATATTGCTGAGCCTTCATCTACCTGGTGCCATGCTAGCTGGAGCTGGTGGGAATTATAGCCTAAAACATCTGGAGGGCACCAGACTGTTTAGTTCAAATCCCAACTCAACCAAGATGCTCACTGGATAATCTTGGGCCAGTCTTGATTTCCCAGTAAGCTACTAAGTCTAGGTGTGGGGTGCCATGCATGTTGGTGAACTATTTGAAGCCCAGCCCATTAGAACACACACAATCACATTTTGAGAAGGTTGCAGTTCAAAACAGACAAGATACTCACCTGTTATGAGATGGGAGAAAGTGGCAGGAAGAACTGACCAGATGGCTTGCTCATAATCAAGACTTATAACTTATTTTTATTATAACTTATTTTTTTTAATTAAAAAAATACCACATAAATATGACTTTTGTACTTTGCTAGGTTGCATTCTTTGGTACAAACCTTTTATATTCTGGAATTATTGTCCTAAGACAAGAGATGGAGTAGAAATTTGTTTCGGTTTACATTTTGACGCAAACACACCTAAATCACACTTCCCAAACTAGCGTGCGAACTGAAACAGTTCACAATGAAAATTTTGGAATGCAACTTGCAAAAAACCAACAACAACAAAGTGCATAAAAAGCTTATGTTAACAGAAGCTGCGTGTACACATTAGTGAAAGGAACCTTATAAAAATAAAAAAATAAAAATGGGGCAAAATTGTGTACAAAAATGTCTATGTTTAGGAGAAACGTGCATGAAAATGCATATAATTTTCTCTGTAGTTTTTTTATTGTAAAATGATGCAGAAATAGGAACTGAACTTAAGATTGGAAGCAGGAGAAACTGAATTTAACAAATCCCTCAATCCCCACTGAAGGCCACCACTGTGGCAAATACAAATAGAAAACACCCACCCACCCTCCAAAATTTGTGGTCAGTGGGTAGCATCTTCTTCAGGAAGTGTTCTTCATCTGCCATCCTGGATTCTCACTGCAAGAAAGAGGATCCTTTCCCACCCACCTTTTCCAGAAGAAAACAGAGAAAAAGCAGGCCACCTTTCAGGGGAAAATATGAAGAAAAATTCCAAATAAGCAGCACTGAAACCAAAACAATCCTTATACTACTACTCCAGAATTTCATACCAAGGGATCTCAAAAGATGTGCTTTTGCAAATAGTAGTGAAGTCCAGAACAAGTCATCATTATCCTTACAGATTTACAGATGTGGTCTATCTGCTTCAGCTTGGTCAGGTCAACAGGTGGCTTGAAGGAGCTGCGTGGCCAATAAAGGCAGCAGGTTGACTCACCGGCGTCTCCTTCATTGGACTCTCTCACCCCCACTGAGCTTATAGAGATCAGACCTCAAGCAGCCAGGATCTCTTCTTGGAAAGCCTCCTTGCTTTGGGGACCGAAAATATTTAATTCATCTCTGCTCAGGATTCCAGAATGATAATAGTGGGGGAAAGGAAAACATGTGGCTGAAAATAACTCTTATCAGCCTGAACGAGCCCCAACATGAGCAATTTTGTGCAGAAATGTGTGTTTGGTTTTGATCACTGGGTCAACTAAGCCAAGCTGTGGTACTGCATTATCTCAGCGATAATGAATCTTTCCAGTGGAGGACAACATTAAAGGAGTTAATGAAGGAGAAGTGATTGCTGGGTTAGAATCAGAGTTTTTGGTACTATTGGGTCATAACACTCCACTGCTGAAGAAAAGCAAAATAAGACCAAGCAGAGAACAGAGAAAATCACTGTTATTCATTCCAGATTCCTTTATGGGGTTACAACAAAGTTTCTCTCCACAACTGTCAGTTTTTTCCAGGACCAGACATATTTTGTGATTTCCAGTAGCTTAAAAAGTTATTGTTTCATTACCCAACTTAAAAGAATTCTGTAGCATTGGCTGTATTATTCTTATTTAAATGGTTTGGATGAGAAGGCTCATGAAATGCTTTATGTAAGCTGTGTATATTCAGAACTAGTGATGAAAGTAATAATTAAAAACAAAAAAGGAACGAGTATCAAATATTAAATAATTTTAATATTTATAAAATGATACTCACTTGAGATTGAAAGCAGCCAAATAGATGTGTGCAGCAGAGACAAATATGGTACAAATCAGTTACAGTAATAAAAAATCATAACTAATGAAAAGAGAAAGCAAAAAAAAGCACCAGAGGGCGATTACAGCAAGCACTCTCAGTATAAAGAGGAGAGAGATGTTTAATTCTGATACCAATTATGTAAAAACATAAAATAACAAAATTAAGCTGATCTGTGGAAGGACCATCAACAACATGCAAAATGCTAAAAAGAAATTATCCTACGGTGCAGACATGACAATGTCAGGGACCAAAAAGTTGGTCTCAACATGGTTCAGCATCCATTTCTGGTTTGCCTACAAGCTAACACAGAACTGAATCCTATCCATGGTTTCTGAATGACTGGAAATGGATCTGGGATTGCCAAAGCTACCCTGTTGTTGCTGTTGTTGTTATGTTTACGGATAACATTACTACCCAGTTATCTGCAAACGTCACCCTGTGTCCAATTCTGGGCACTACAATTTAAGAAGGATGTTGACAAGCTAGAACATGTGCAGAGGAGGGCAACAAAGATGATCAAGGGTCTGGAAACTAAGCCTTACGAGGACCTTTTGAAGGAGCTGGGTGTGTTTAGCCTAGAAAAGAGGAGACTGAGAGGAGATTTGATGGCCATCTTCAAATATCTTAAGGGCTGTCACATGGAGGAGGAAGCAAGCTTGTTTTCTCCGGCTCTTGAGGGTAGGACTCAAACCAATGGTTTCAAGTTACAGGAAAGGAGATTCCAACTAAACATTTGGAAAAACTTTCTGACAGTAAGAGCTGTTTGACAGTGGAATGGTCTCCCTTGGGAGGTTGTGGACTCTCCTTCCTTGGAGGTTTTTAAGCAGAGGCTGGCTGGCCATCTGTCATGGATGCTTTGGTGTGATTCCTACATTGCAGGGGGTTGGAGTAATTGGCCCTTGGAGTCCCTCTTCCAACTGCATGATTCTATTTGGTACCTGGTAATGCAGTCTGCACCAGGTTGCTTTGGCTCAGAAAAAAGCTTAGCTCTGCTCTGGTGCACACACAAACCTCTCGTGGATGTGGACTGCCCAACTCACCTCAATGGAAAAAGCAACAGTGCGCACACAGAGGAACACCCATTAAGACCTGCGTCCCCCAATGGAAGTGTTTGGGGAAGTTCCTGGGCTCAGATCAGAGCAGTCTCTGCACACATCAGAAGCCCCTCTTCTAAAAAACACTGAACTTACTGGAGACCTTGGCAGTAAAATGGGAATTTTACCTTCACCTTTGCGCCTTCAGTCAGACATGGAAAGGAGACTGGCCAGTGTAGCTTTGGGTTTGTTTGTGGGAGAAGCAGGCCCAAATCTTAGTCATGAAGCTGACTAGGGAACCTCAGACAAGCTCTCAGCTGGTTGCAGTAAGGGGAAATTGCAATAAGAATGAATAATAAAGTGCTTTGTGCACTGTTATTGCAACCTTCCCCAACCCGGTGCCCTCCAGATGCTTTGAACTGCATCAGCCTCAGCATCCAATGGCTGTGCTGGTTGGAGCTAAGGGGCACAGGAGTTAACTCCTAGGGGCTGAGGTCCCTTGGCTGCCATAAAATATTTGAGCCCCCCCTCCCCCAGTTGATGGACATTGCCATTCAAATGGTATGTGTGCACCACTTTATGTGATTGATTATGCAGGATGGGGCTTCCTCCCCCCCCCCATTTTATTCATGTTGACATCCCTGCTAAGGGGAGTTGTAATCCATATCATCTGGAGGCCACCAGGGTAAGGAAGGCTGGCTTAGTGATACACAGAGGAAGTAGTTGAGGTTGCTTCCGTGTATGGGGCTTAGGATCAGTACTACCTCTAGTGGCCAGAATGAACCTTGAGCATAAGGCTCTCTTTAGATGCTCAGGAGATGTTGACTGCCAGGAGCAGCTTTGATCAGCTGAGGTTGATTCACCAGCCACAGGTCCTGCTCAGAGTAATGGATCTAAGCTCCTGTGCTGGTGACATCCAGACTGTATTGCTCTCTGTGCGGGGCTACCCTGAAAGGGAAACTTCGATAGCTGCAAGAAGCAGTCACTAGAGTACTAGTAGGACAAAGTCAAGCTCACAGTGCACCTACCCTACAGCAGTTAACACTGGTTGACCATTTGTTCCTGAGTTCAATTTAAGGTGCAACCATTGACTTGTAAAGCCCTAAGCACCCTGCGACCCAGTTACCAGGAGGTCCCCCTTCACCCTTAAGAATCCAAGTGAGTCGCTTTAAGATGATAATCTCAGCAGAGCAGTATTATGCTACGTGCTAAGGAATAGGCTTCCTCCGAGAACATGCTCAGCCCAAGGACTTTTGATGAGTACCAGAACCAAGCTCACAAGTCCTTCCGTTCAAAAACCCATGCCTGGTTTCCCCCCACAAGCAGTATTTTTCAGCAATCTAAAGTGGGAAAGCTTTTAAATAATTGCTATAGACAATTGACAGTCAGAAATCCCTTTCTCATCAATGGCAGATCACCAAGAGATCTTCCAGTAGCTCCCAGTCTTCCTGATTTAGAGAGCAATCATAGGTACGGTTACTCAGTCAGAATCAAGTCACACTGAATTCAACAGGCCTTACTTCCTTCCTCCCAAGTAAGTGTGTATTGGATTGCAGTTTTACTGAACCCTGGGGTAATATCGATAGATTTCACAGCCACCCAAGAGCCACCACAAACAGTTCCAACAACAAAGTGAAGTTTGTATCTAAAGTTCAAAAAACTAACACAGATGGTGGGGGTAGCTGTGTTGCCCATGACCTGTGATGTCTCAGTTAAGTGTCCATAATATTTGAACACATTCTATAGAGAATTTAGAACAGCAATGAACACTATCAGGCTGGGGAACGTGGAGGCCATGTGTCCTTCAGTGGGGGTGAAGGAAGGGAGATAAACCAGCAGCAGAAGAGTGACCCCAACAGAATAGGAGTAACTAACTGCAAATTCATTGCATGAAAAAAATGTAGAGAGGAGAGAGTGACCTGACCCCCCCCCACCAAATGAATGTCTTTTCCTCCAGCTCAGGATGGAGACAAGTAACTGAGATGTCCAAGTTGGAGCTAGAGAACATATGAGGATGCAATAACTTCAATAGTTTTTTTTAACTGCAGAATTTCCATGTATTTTGTTCCAAATACCACTTCTTCTGAGAGTTAACGTTTTCTGCTGATTTATGCAGAGAACTCTGTTGCCCTTCAATATAATGAAGGTAAGTTTTGCACTTTTTGAGCAAATATATACTTGAGAAATGGCAAGTTTTGGTGCGGCTCAAATGGGCAGGTGCCCCCCAGGAGTGGGGATGAGGGAGAAACGCAATTCAGCTGAATCTATCAAATTTGCACTTTCCAAAACAATATGAGAACTGAAACATAGCTGTCCGTCAAAATTCACACTTACATGAATTTTGCAAGACAGTTTTCCAACCAGACAGTGTTTACAAAAATGCACATAATAGGGGGATATGTGTATAAAAATGAATATATTAGTGAGAATTACAAAAGTGCATTTGCAAAAAATGTGTTTGTTAGTCAAAAGTGCAGACAAAAGTGTGTTTATTAGGAGAAAAGTCACACTAAAATGCTGAAGAATTTCCATGCTGTTTTTTAAATCTGCATCCTGGGAGTTCATGCTGATGGTCTGTTAAAAAACTGACTGACTGACTGACTGACTGACTGACTGACTGACTGACTGACTAAATAAATAAATAAATAAATAAATAAATAAATAGCTAGCCTTCTACAATACAGCCACTGTCAGAGAAGAGTACATCATGGCTCTGGAAAAAAAGAATTTGGTTTCTTTTCCCCTTATGAGATATTAAATTGTCTTGTAAGTCCGCTCACCCCTCTCGGTGTGGTGGCACTGCAGGACAGTGGAGGCTTCACTGGGACCCCAACAAGGGAACTGGAACTGCGGTGCCCTTCCTGATAGGCGGTGGGGGCATAAGCCCCTGCCACCTATCAAGGACAGGGTCCTAGCCCCAGACGGCGGTCCCTGTGGGGGTCACCCTATTTGATGTAAGTCTTAGGAACCCCCGCCTGGATTGACCACACATCACTTCCAGCGGGTGGGCCAGAAGTATTTAGATTGCCCCGTGCCCAAGCCAAACCTCTTTCATCTGTATTCAGTAAAGTTGTGGCCTGTTTTGACCTAAAGCTTATTATTGGTCTCTTATTTGCATGGGTTGGGGTATGGGGAGCCTGACGCCTGGTCCTGCAACTAAGATCCTCTCTTCTTGCAGTTGTAGTGTCAAACACTTTATAGACATTCAGGAAAACTTTTCAAATGTCAATATTATAAGTGGAGCTATATCTAGATCATGGGTGCCACATCGAATTTTTAAATTTTAGTAGAACCCCAAGACCAACCAATGAGAGACTGGTGGTGTTCTTTTAAGAGGAATGGTTTGGGATGGACACGGGGTGGGACCTAAGGGGATTTCTTCTTCTGTAACTCTCATTGAGTATTACAAAATGAAAGTAACTGGGTTTTCGTCTTTTATTCATCATTTCTAGAAGTGGAGTTCTTTGGTCGTTAGTTAAGTTTGTCAGTTTAAAATAAAAGTAATCAGTGTTAAAGAAGCGCATGAATTCATCTACCACACAAATCAGAGATGGGTTACAATAACATGAACTCAGAAGAAGAATAAGAAGAGCTCTTCTCCTTGGGAGTATCTCAGAGAGAGCTTGCTAACTGAATGTGCAAATAAATCCAGACTCAACTCTGTGTTAAGGTATCTCAAATTCAGCACCAAAGAAGCAACAACTTATGCATCTCAGATGAATTAGGCAAATTTGCTGATATTTTCCTATTTTTTTGTAATATCTTCTGCTGGGATGTATTTTTACTGAGGGGCAACTACTCTGCTCTATGTCACTGCTCTTTCCCTTTCTGGAACTTCACACATTTTGAAGCTCAACTTCACAGCCATAAGGACTCCAAGTTTACATTACAAAAACCCAGAAAGCTGGAAAAACCTCAGGAATTTGAATTCTGTATATGACACAATATACCATACATGTGCCTTGATATTTCAGTATCTTTGTGATCCATCAGCTTTAAAATCTCACATGGAAGGAACATTGATAATGTTGAAGTAAGATTCAGTTGCCAGTCCAGTCAGCTTCTGTGCATGGCCTCTGCCTCAGGCAGCAAAATGACTTGGGCTGGCCTTGACTCTGACTGACAGACCCCGGGGTCATTGGCTCTTAAATAGAATTTTGTTAAAATGCTGGTAAAATTATTTAGTACACCAACCACCAATTTAACTTGAACACATGGAGACTTCTTGCATGCCAGTTTTCACCCGCTTGCCTCAACATACGATGCCTCCCACACGGTGCACACCGATGCCACCTCTATGCACAATGCTCCTGGTCACTGGCCTGAGCACATTACAACACCATGCAGAACAAGCCCCAATGAAGAGGGGCAGCCAGAGATGCCTCTGCTATCTCAAACCAGTCTTTGCAAGGAGAAACTTACGGTCTTTGCAAGGAGAAACTTACGGTCTTCAAATAAAAACATCTTGAAGGTCCCAGGCCACAGAGAAGTTAGGCTGGCCTCAACGAGAGCCAGGGCTTTTTCGGCTGTGGCTCCGATCTGGTGGAACACTCTGTCACAAGAGACCAGGGCCCTGCAAGACTTGACATCTTTCCGCAGGGCCTGCAAGACAAAGCTGTTCCACCAGGCCCAATGGTTGCCAGTGGCTTGAATTAATTAATTAAATTAATTAATTAATTAATTAATTTTATAATGAATGATTTTAGAATGTTGTTATGCTGTACTTTTGTACTGTTTTACTGTTGTTAGCCGCCCTGAGCCCGGCTTCGGCTGGGGAGGGTGGAAAATTTATTATTATTATATTATATACATCAGAAACCTTTCGCAGGACTCATTTCCTTCAGGCACAGGGTATCAACACAGAACTGTGGTTCAAACAATGGATGGCAGCAAGGAACGCACACCAGGATTGCATCAGGAGGATGCAAGACTTGTACTCACCTGGGTCTGGAGCAATGCACTCGCACTTATACATTGTCACGTAGTCTGGCTTGAAGCCTGCATTGATGGGGTAGTACTTGAAGGCTCCAATCATCTTCTTGATGGCGTCGTAGATGAAGATGAAGCTAATGAGAGTGGAGAACCCTTCCTCAGTGAACCGTGTGATGTATTTTATAATGAAGCTGGCATCTGTAGCCACCAGGATAAGGCACTGGAGAGCAGAATGCAAGCCGATCCAGAGGCGGAACTCCATGTAGTCAATGCCATTGCCTCTGAAATTGGAAATGAAATGAAGTCAAGGGTTGTTTTAAGTAATACTAATAGGACATTTGATCCTTATAAGGAAAGGCAAGAAGAACACGTGAATGATGTTGCCATAATTCATCTAGTATTTTCTTTAATTTGGGTCCTGCGAGGCTGCTCGTCCACTAGCCCAGGAGGCTCCCACTGGAGCCTTCCTTCCTCTCTGCAGCCCCCTCAACTGCTGATGCAAAGAAACATATAGAAAGGAGAATTCCTGCATGCCAAGATCCAAGTCTGGGGCAGTACTCTTTGGTGAGGCAACCCCAGCAGAGATTTAATAAAATCACAAAATCTGCAGCAAAGCAAAATGTGGAAATATAGGATGTTAGACCTTTAAAACATGTGCCCCTCCAAGTGAGTTCCAAAATGCCCCCTTAAAAAGTTTCTTTCAAAATGTTTTCTTAAAAGGTTTATTTCTTTCCCTCTCTGCCCAGTTGGGAAGTTAAAAATTGCTTACTTACAAACTCTCCAATGGTCAGGATTATGTGCTTTTCCATACATCAGTCAGAAAAGATGCACAGGAAAACTTATTTACAAAGTGGTAAAAGTCCCTAATCTATACAGGAAGTCAATAGAGGCTTGTGAAAACTGTGCAACAGCTCAGACCTCTTCACATGCGGAGCTTCTTAGGTGGACTGGGGAAGAACAAAGGCTTACTCCATGGTATCAAACCATTTGTGCATTAATTAGACTGAAGCATGTTGGATATATGAGGCTGGTTATCCCACAAACACCCTGAGGGAGTTGGATGAACATCTGGAGCAGATTTTGAGAGTGCCCAGGGAGTGAAACTCTGCATCTGTCATGTTGGATGCAACCCTTGTTTATTCATACATTTTGCAGAGCCCTTTGCACTGCAGACATTTCCAACACAAATCAAAACACAGCACTTAAAACAAAATGACAGTTAAAACATAAATTAGCAGCAGCACAGAATCGAACAATCCTAAACTCCGGAGTAGGGTTAGCCAAATGCAATAGAACGAAGCAAGCTTACTTCTGTAAATTAATCCTGTTAGGAATGATTTCACTTACTTGCTGAAATCGTAGAGAAGTTTTTCAAAGATCAGGATGGGTCCTGTGCTGCTCAGGATAATGAGGGGCTGCCCAGCAAAGAAGCAGAATACGGCCCCTGCCATTGCTGTGCCAAGAAAGCTCTCCATGACTCCCTGGTGGGAGGAAAACAGCTAAATGTCAATAGGTGCCATTTTAAGTGCTGTCAAAAATGACACTGTTTGGGGGCAAAACAACATCACAACAATCGTTGCCACATGTTCAAGAGTGCCTGGGTACCAGGTACCTGCAGATAACAGGGTAGGGCTCTGGGACCACGGGCAGCATGCAGAGTCATGTCTGTGCTGATGGTTCTTCACTCACCTGCAATGCTTTGTTCTACATGCCCACATTTGGAGATGGAAGATGAGCCCAGGTGCACTCAGATGCACACCCACCTAAATACGGACAGCTTCAGTCCCACAAGTATGCATTTAAGCATTTGTTTATGTATTTTCGTACAGGATGGAATGGTCTCTCAGAACAAACACATTCATAACTAGCCTGGACCATGAATCGGCTTATTTGCCCATTCCTAGGGAGCACTGCCTGTTCCTGAAGCCTCAGTTTTGGCCCAGACTTGCCTGGTAGTTTTCTGTCGCATCCCCCAGCAGCCCGCCAAACGTAATGGCATTTGTGATGCAGCCAAGGTAGATGAAGAGGATGGCAGAGATGGACTGGATGTGAAAGCCCTCATAGAAGTCACTGGGAAACCAGGGCAGCTTCCTCTTGATATCCAAAAATAGGCCACCACAGAACCTGGAAAGGGAACAGGAGAGGCTGGGCACACTCTGCACCAGAGGAAAGCACACAAGAGCCACTGAGGGAGAGCAGGGTTGGAAATCCCCCTTCAGCCATGAAGCTCACTGGGTGCGGCCTTGGGCCAGTCACGCCCTCTCAGCCTAACCTACCTCACAGGGGGGTTGTGGGGATTTGATAAGGAAGGGGAAAACAATATACACCACCTTGAGCTCCTTGGAGGAAAAGTGGGCTACAAATGCAAATACTACTACTACTACTACTAATAATAATAATAATAACAACAACAACTGAATAAAACTAAACAATAAATATTTTTTTAAAAAAATACATTTCCACAAAAGTCAACTTCTGTGACTAGAACATATCCTGCAAATCAGATAACTCTGGCTAGATTTTTGGTGTTGCCCAGTGTATTCTACTTCTGTTGGCCATAGGGGGAAGACACTATCCAGCACAACACTGTGGCTGCCTTCACACCACAGTTCATTCTGTTTCCCCAACGGTTAATTTCCACATTATATTTGAGCTTTCACATGACGTAAAAGCCATTTCCAGAAATCTAGCAGAATACTGTGGAAGTTTAGTGCTCTTTTTCATGTTAATTGCTTCCAGAAAAACAAAACAAAAACAAAGCTGTTTATAACTCCATTAACTCTGAAAATCGAGGGAGTAAAGTGATGGAATTTGGGGTGGTATCCTGCCATATAGTTTTCAGGGGGGGATTTAGTGCAACTTGTCAGTACATCGGTCCAAAAGCTACAGATCCAAAACACAACAGGTACTGCAGTGTGAAAGGAATATTAGAAAATGGAAAAGCTAGCATTATAATCAGGAAAACTAACATAACATTCACCCTGCTGGAATGCCCTCTGTCACTATCCCTGCCCCAGACCCTGGGAGTCCTGCTGTGCTCGTTCTCCATCAGCAGCGCAGTTTGCCTTTTGCATGCTTCTCCCACGTACACAAATCCAAGGTGATGCAAAAGAACAAGAGGCTAGCTTCACATGGCTGTTAGAATTTTTGAGTGTAGGTTGTGCAGCATTGAAACATAAGGTGTTTTCTGGAGCAACACAAGGCCAGACTAGACATAATAGCTACAGGAGTGGTTGGTGGGGCACGAATGATGACCTGGCTTCCCAATGCTGTGATTCCCTGCTTGTACCAGAGAGGCACAGGCGAGGCAACCAATCTGAAGCTCCCGCCACTGCGCTTGGGTTGAGCTTCCCATTCTCTTGCCTTTCCCCCTCTTGGTACCAAATAGCTCCACACCGTCACACAACCCTTGCCGCACCACCAGCCGCTACTGGGTGGCAGTGAGTTCATACATTTAAACCTCTATCTCTATCTATCTATCATCTATCTATCTATCTATCTATCTATCTATCTATCTATCTATCTATCTATCTATCTATCTATCTATCTATCATCTATCTATCTATCATCTATCTATCTATCTATCTATCTATCTATCTATCTATCTATCTATCTATCTATCATCTATCTATCTATCTATCTATCTATCTATCTATCTATCTATCTATCATCTATCTACAGTGGTGCCTCGCAAGACGAAATTAATTCGTTCCGCAAGTCTCTTCGTCTTGCGGTTTTTTCGTCTTGCGATGCACGGTTTCCCATAGGAATGCATTGAAAATCAATTAATGCGTTCCTAGGGAAACTGCCTTCAGACCAGGTCCGGGGACAGACTGTCCCCGGACCTCTTCTGAAGGCTGGGGGGGGGGACAAGGGCTTTTCTTCCCACCCCCAGCATTTTAAAAAACCCTGGGACAGCGGAGGACTTCTCCGCTGTCCGGGCGATCTTAAAATGCTGGCGGGCGGCATTTTAAAATCGCCCCGGGACAGCGGAGGACTCTCCGCTGTCCGGGGTGATTTAAAAGCCCCTGGGAAGGCAGGCAGGGGGGACAAAGACTTTCGCCCCCCGCCCGCCTTCAGAAGGTGTTCCCACCCCCCCCGCCCGGCTTCGCAGCAGCACTACGAAGCCCGGCGGCTGGGGCAGGTGTTCCCGCCCCCCCACCCCGCTTCGGAGCAGCGTTCCGAAGTGGGGTGGCTGGGGCAGGTGTTCCCGCCCCCCCGCCCGGCTTCGCAGCAGCGCTACGAAGCCCGGCGGCTGGGGCAGGTGTTCCCACCCCCCCATCCCGCTTCGGAGCAGCGTTCCGAAGCGGGGTGGCTGGGGCAGGTGTTCCCGCCCCCCGCCCGGCTTCGCAGCAGCGCTACGAAGCCCGGCGGCTGGGGCAGGTGTTCCCGCCCCCCCACCCCGCTTCGGAGCAGCGTTCCGAAGCGGGGTGGCTGGGGCAGGTGTTCCCGCCCCCCGCCCGGCTTCGCAGCAGTGCTACGAAGCCCGGCGGCTGGGGCAGGTGTTCCCGCCCCCCCACCCCGCTTCGGAGCAGCGTTCCGAAGCGGGGTGGCTGGGGCAGGTGTTCCCGCCCCCCGCCCGGCTTCGCAGCAGCGCTACGAAGCCCGGCGGCTGGGGCAGGTGTTCCCGCCCCCCACCCCGCTTCGGAGCAGCGTTCCGAAGCGGGGTGGCTGGGGCAGGTGTTCCCGCCCCCCCGCCCGGCTTCGCAGCAGCGCTACGAAGCCCGGCGGCTGGGGCAGGTGTTCCCGCCCCCCACCCCGCTTCGGAGCAGCGTTCCGAAGTGGGGTGGCTGGGGCAGGTGTTCCCGCCCCCCGCCCGGCTTCGCAGCAGCGCTACGAAGCCCGGCGGCTGGGGCAGGTGTTCCTGCACCCCCCACCCCGCTTCGGAGCACCGGGAGAAGCGATCTCCCCGCAGCCCCTTGCTTCAAAAGAGGTCCGGGGCAGACCTCTTTTGAAGCAAGGGGCGGTGGGGAGAAGCGATCTCCCCGCCGCCCCTTGCTTCAAAAGAGAAGACCCGCTGTCCCCGGGGCAAGCTTCGTTTTGCGAAGCAAGCCCATAGGGAAATTCGTCTTGCGAGGCAACTCGAAAACGAAAAAACCTTTCGTTTTGCAAGTTTTTCGTCTCGCGAGGCGTTCGTCTTGCGGGGTACCACTGTATCTATCATCTATCTATCATCTATCTATCTATCTATCTATCTATCTATCATCTATCATCTATCATCTATCATCTATCATCTATCATCTATCATCTATCTATATCTATCTATCTATCTATCTATCTATCTATCTATCTATCATCTATCATCTATCATCTATCTATCATCTATCTATCTATCATCTATCTATCTATCATCTATCTCTATCATCTATCTATCTATCATCTATCTATCTATCTATCATCTATCTATCTATCTATCTATCTATCTATCTATCATCTATCTATCATCATCTATCTATCTATCTATCATCTATCTATCATCTATCTATCTATCTATCTATCTATCTATCTATCTATCTATCATCATCTATCTATCATCTATCTATCCATCTATCATCTAGCTATCATCTAGCTACCATCATCATCATCACCATCACAAAGTGGTTCACAACATAAAAGTACAAAATGAGAACACAAAATACTTAAAAAACAAAAACAAACCAGGAGCCCTTATGGAGAGAGGTGGTCCTTGAGGTATTGTGGTCTTGAGCTGTTTGAGGTTTTATAAGTCAAAGCCAGCACTTTGAATTGGGCCCAAAATGTATTTGGCAGCCAGTGCAGTCAGGCCAGGACCGGTGTAATATATTCAAACCGTCTTGTCCCAGTCAGCAACCTAGATGAAGTTTCTGAACTATCTTCAGAAGCAGCCTCATGTAGAACGCATTGCAGTAATCTAACCTTGAGGTTACCAGAGCACAGACAACAGAAGTTAGGCTATCCCTGTCTGGGCACGGGTGCAGCTGGGCCTCCAGCTGAAGCTCAATAATACAGAAAGCAGGGGGTTGGAGGGCAACCTGCAGCCTGTTCCTGAAGGCTCCTACTCTGGTTAGGCTCTGATGATGGAGGTGAACCTGGCTAGGGAATAAGAGTTGAGAGCCCAGCTTAGATGGCAGATTGCAGAGAGGACTATTATTATTATTTTTTTGGGGGGGGGGAAACACCCTGTTCTACACATTTGCAGTAGGTCTGGGTTTAAATACATATATTTGCTGCCACATTATCTAGTTTGGTCCATGATCTCAGGAGCTCTGTACCACGGGTGAAAATATCTCCAGCTTTATGACTGTGTTTAGCGCTTTCCCTCAGTCCCTAAACAGATTCTCTTTCTGCTCACGGAGTCCAGAATGTTTTGCTTACCTTCCAGTCCAGATAAGCTCCTCCCCAATCTCATGCACAGCTGGCATCTCGTCATCTTCGCTGCCTCCCCCCCCACCGCCCCCTCCGCCCCCTCCGCCTCCGGCTCCTCCGGCCGTGCCATTCATTTGTCCAGCCTCACTCAGGGAAAACACAGATTTTCTGGTGGAAGAGAGAAATAGCAAAGTGTTAGGAAACCTGGTGCCTGAAGCGCAACGCCGCTTAGCCCAGCCTGCAAGCATTTGTTCCTCTGAGGTGCTTTCATCAGGACTACTGCTGAAAAGAGCCTCCCCTTTACCTCTTCTCAGCGGAGGGCACTTTCTTGGGTGGCTCTATTCTAATGTTTGGGTCCCACTCTCCAGGCGGCAGAACGATGACCTCGTCCAGAAACTCATCTATTCCAGCTATCAGGTCATCTCTGTCTCTAGCTTTGTAGGCGACATCGCTGAACAGCTGGAAGTAAAAGTGAAAACAGGAATTATCTGGACAAGTCACTACCCAAGAAAATGCAGTGGAATACAGTGGAGAGCCTCGTTTCTTATGTGTAAACCAGTCTCCACTTGCATAATGGAACTCCCCCCCAATAATAATAATAATAATAATAATAATTTATTATTTGTACCCCGCCCATCTGGCTGCGTTTCCCCAGCCACTCTGGGCGGCTTCCATAGAAACCAAAAATACACTAAAATATCACACATTAAAAACTTCCCTGAACAGGGCTGCCTTAAGATGTCAACCTCAATCTGTCAAGATGATTCCAGTATCCGTCTGGTCAGGACCAGACCTGGAGGCAGGGATAGTCCTCAGACAACGACTAAACCTGCTTCCTCGGTAATGACATGGTCTGGTCTTAGCGTAACTCCTCCTCCTACCCATGATCACTGAGATCGGTTGTCCCAGTGCATCCCCCCCCCCTGTGGAACCTGCCCCAGCCATTTTGTTTGCTGGGACCCACTCCCAGGCAGCCCTGACCCCTCCCCTTAAAATCAAATTAAAACCTATACAAAAAACAAACTACAGTGGTGCCTCACAAGACGAAAAGAATCCGTTCCGCGATTCTCTTCGTCTAGCGGTTTTTTCGTCTTGCGAAGCAACCCTATTAGCGTCTTAGCGGATTAGCGCTATTAGCGGTTTAGCGGCTTAGCGGCTATTAAAGGCTTAGTGGCTTAGCTGCTAAAAGGCTATTAGCGGCTTAGTGGCTTAGAAAAAAGGGGGGAAGCGGGGAAAAAAATCGCAAGACTAGCAAGACGTTTCGTCTTGCGAAGCAAGCCCATAGGGAAAATCGTCTTGCGAAGCAACTCAAAAACAGAAAACCCTTTCGTCTAGCGGGTTTTCCGTCTTGTGGGGCATTCGTCTTGCGGGGCACCACTGTAACAGAACAATAAAACTATAAAAACAAAAAACAAAGTTACAAACACAACATAATTAAGAAGAAGAAGAAGAGTTTGGATTTGATATCCCGCCTTTCACTCCCTTTTAAGGAGTCTCAAAGCGGCTAACATTCTCCTTTCCCTTCCTCCCCCACAACAAACACTCTGTGAGGTGAGTGGGGCTGAGAGACTTCAGAGAAGTGTGACTAGCCCAAGGTCACCCAGCAGCTGCATGTGGAGGAGCGGAGACGCGAACCCGGTTCCCCAGATTACGAGACTACCGCTCTTAACCACTACACCACACTGGCTCTCAAATTAAATTAAGCAAATTCCCACAACCAACTAAACACCCACCCCACCCCACACACCCGAGGCCTCCCTGGAGCCCCATAGGCTGCAGAGGTGAGTATGGGGCCCGCCCACAGGCCCAAGGTTGAAAATGGGCTTCAAGGGGGAGCTGTCCTCCCAAGACTCATAGGTAGAGCAACAGCAACCTGTGTGCTCTCTAGGTCTGGGCCAGGGTCCCCCCCCCCAACCTTCTGGAGCAGATCTGGGAAGGGCACTGGAGGTGGGAGGTGTCATGGAAGCAGAAATCCTTCACTGACTTAGCTGAACCTTTAGTTCAGTTCCATTGCAGAGTTGGCCTTGTGTTTACCACCTTTCTGCACAAGGTACAGAATATGCCTTTTGTAATGCTGACCCTGGGACGCGGGTGGCGCTGTGGGTAAAAGCCTCAGCGCCTAGGACTTGCCGATCGTCAGGTCGGCGGTTCGAATCCCCGTGGCGGGGTGCGCTCCCATCGTTCGGTCCCAGTGCCTGCCAACCTAGCAGTTCGAAAGCACCCCCGGGTGCAAGTAGATAAATAGGGACCGCTTACCAGCGGGAAGGTAAACAGTGTTTCCGTGTGCTGCGCTGGATTGCCAGATGCAGCTTGTCACGCTGGCCACGTGACCCAGAAGTGTCTGCGGACAGCGCTGGCTCCCGGCCTATAGAGTGAGATGAGCGCACAACCCTAGAGTCTGGCAAGACTGGCCCGTACGGGCAGGGGTACCTTTACCTTTACCTTTACCTTTAATGCTGACCCTGGGTTAGGCTATTGCATGACATCCTCAATAAAATATCAGAGCAGCATAGGTGTAGCCAGGATTTTGTTAGGGGGTCAGGCTTAATGTTTTTTGTTTTTTTTTTTGGAGGAGCAGAACCTCAGATAGTTAATTATTTTTATTGATGTACTTGGATGGGGGGGGGCAGCTGCCCCCCTGGCTCTGCCCACGGAGAGGAGGCATCTATGAAGGCATTGAAAATGCACTTACATCATCTACCATGAGGGTGGCGATGGCTCTGCCAATTTCATTGTAGGATTTTGCCTTTCCAGTGGGACCCAGGAGGATAAAGAGGAATCTGGTTTGAAGACAGGAAAAAGAAGCAAACTCATGAAGCATGAATGATGATATGCAAGCCATCTCACTGTGCTGCTCCCAGCTTAAATGACAGTTACGCTACTTCAGTGTCTCCCAACATGGCCCCCTTAAGCTGTTTTGGACTGGGGCTGATCAGCTTCAGTTGATGAGAATTGGAGGGCGCCAAATTAGGGAAAGCTGTACTAGGCAAAACAGTTTCTAGCTATTGCTCCCTTTTGAGGCTTCTATCCTAGACTTTTCCTAATGAATTAAAACATATTGAACTCCTTGGGTGTTATTTTCCTTTCAATAGTTAACATGAAAGTCATATTGTTCAGACAGATTTGCTCTGGGACTATAATGCCTGCTAATTTCACTATTGCTGTCTAGATGTACTTAGCAACATTATCTTGGTGTTTTGTACATACAATGGGCCAGTTACAGTCACTTCATGCAGAAATTACTATTGCTTGTAGCTGCATCAACTACCTGAGATTTAATTCTATAGCACAGAAAAAAATTATCTGTGCCTATAGTTTTGGGAAATAAAAACCAGTAGCTCCTGATGGGTCGTTTTCCTGCTAAATGCAAATATTTGGCAGGTCTGGGCTTGGTCAGTGTACAGTTAGATGGCTGCCTGCAAACTGTGTATTTGCTCCTTTGGGTGCAGTGATGGAAGAAAGTGGAGATAAATATACATGTAGCAAAATAAAATTAAGAAAAATGGAAGCAGAGTTGAGAATGCTCATCAAAACGAATCCCAGCAAAAGAGTGTACTTTCATGGGATGGTGTCCAAATGGCAGGCATATCCAGGGCCAGAAGGCGTTCCTTCTGAAGGCCTTGCTTTCAGCCACCCTCTCCCCCCTTTGATTTTTTGTAGGGCTGGGCGGGGATGGGGTGACAATCCTCCTTTTAATCATCTACCTACCTCGTAGGGACAGGCACTTCTGTCACTCCGCCCAGCATGGTTGACTGAATGAGCCGGACAAACGCTACGAACGGCTTGTCCAGGAAGTCCACTTCTCCCACAAGGACATTGGAGGCCTCAGCATCTTTGGGGATCTTCTTAATGAATTTGTTTTTGAGCTGGGAGGAAAACAGAAGCATTTCTCTAAAGATCAGCGATCCCCTTCTTTCGATTTGTCTCTTTCTGCCTGAGTCAAAGCAAGAGCAAACTCCTTGCCAGCTGGGGTAACACGTCGCTTAGAATCCGCCTGGGACTCTTAACACTCACAATGTGGCTGCAGTAGGATCTGTGGTAATTTCCATTTGCATGGACAGGCGGAGACCCCCCCCCCGACCCTGGGCGACACACACGTGGAATAATGACTCAAGACAATGTGTTATGGGATTAAAATTAGGCCACAACTTTATTAAAACTTCAGCTGTAGGGAGACCTTGGCTTAGGCATTGGGAGTTTATCCCTTCCAGTCTCCGGCCAGGGATCTGGGGAACATCAGGGTTATCCAGAAATGTGGGGATTGGGCTGGCTCTGGAGAACGTCTGTTCAAGCAGAGAGCCCGCCCCCCATTTCGCCACCATCACAGGAGGAGAGCAATGACAACCTAACGGCGTATGGCCAATGCCTCCCCTCAAAACAACCCCTTTAACGGGGAACCCTGAGATCGCCTCTGTCCCTAATTTAGGGAAGATAGGGATTCCGCCCAAGGCCTGAAACCGCCAAAGTTGTGACGTTTTGCTATGGGGAAGGCAAAACCAGGAAAATTCATTTCTGGCCCTTCCACAGCAACCGTAACATAGCAGCGCCCGCGTACCTGTGGAGAAGAGGATAACCTGCAAAAGAAGGCTTAACTAAGGGAGGGCAGAGTGGGAGAATCTCTGAAGCCGACTGAGAACTCCCAGGTAAGTTCTGCACACTGTTGTGTGGGCTGCTCGATCTCTCCCCTTACCTGGCCAACTCTCTCTTGGCAACGCCTCCCCAGCTGGGATTGGGTAACTGGCAGAGGTAGGTGGCTACCTCCAGGTGTCCAGCGGGGGGGGGGGGAGGGGAGGGGCAGGCGTATCTAGGCTGTACTGCCGGGAGCCACATGGGATGGGGGGGGGGCTGTGCACGACTGCGCAAAAGGCACCCCTCGTTTGATGTGGGGAGTGGTCATTGTGAAATTTGCCTTGAGAAGTTCCCACCGCAAAAGTCACTTCCAAATCCAATTCTGTGCCAACCTCTGAAGATTTCCTGTTTTACACCTCAGCTATTACCCTCAATGTTTCCCCGGTACCAAATTATTCACCCCTCAGATTCTACAGCAGTAAATGCTGCCCTCGACAAATGCTAAAGTCGCTCAGTGATATGGTTAGTACATCCTCTATTGAGAGAATTTTTATCTATTAGCCATTATGCCAATTTACTTAATTTTAATCTGTTTAGTAGCTGGACCTCTTGAAAGCCTAGCTTTGTACTTATTTAATGTTGCTGGAGACTGGGTTCCAGCCATCTTAGTTTTGATTCTCGGTAGTTTTACCGAATGTTGGGGATGGAGAAGAAATTTGATTCAGCGTGAATTTAAAGCTGAACCTATCAAATCTGCACCTTCTGAAACAATGTGTAAACTGGAATACAGCTGTCATTTGAAATTCACACATATCAAAACTGCAATTCAGTTCTCCAACCAAAAAATGTTTACAAAAATGCACATATTTTGATTTTGCATGTTAAATTGGCTTAACACCAAATTGGTTACTGTGTATGTACTATATGTACTATGTACTATGTTACTACTATGGGAAATCCAGTTTTGGTGTTTATAGTTTCTGTTTGTTGTTCTTATTGTTAAAATTGTTAATAAAAATATATTTTTTAAAAGGAAAACAAAAAAGAAACTATAAATATTGTCAAACGAAATCATATTTAACAGAGACAAATGCACATATTATGGGAAAGTATGCACAAACATGAAGTAACATACAAAAATGCGTTATATTAGGAAAATTGCTTGCAAAAATGCATATTTTAGTCAAAACTACATATGAAACTGTTTATTAGAAGACATTTGCAGTAAAATGCTGATCAATTGTCATGAGGGTTTAAAAATAAATAAATTCACAAATTGCTGCAAAATGTGGAGAACTGAATTTAAGATTGGAAAACTGGGAAACAGAACAGTGACACTGACAGAGCCATCCTTACTGAAGGTAGACCGTGTGGCTGTAGTGTCATTGCAATAATTATCCTAAATTGGCCTGACCTGACTACAACTCCCATCAGCCCCAGCCAGCAAAATCATAAGATGTGGGTGCTTAGGGGAGCACAGCTGTACTGGCTAGGGCTGATGGGAATTGTAGTCCAAAATTCTGGAGGCTGCCATATTGGTATAGGCAGACTTAAATCAATTTTAGTGGTTCACTGGGAAGTTCTACTGTGCTCTCATTAAATCCAGTGGGGTTTCAGTGGTAGAACATCTCTGTGGACTGTGCCTGAAGAGTATGAAATTAATCCAGAGTGCCAGAACTTGACTGTATAAGCACCCACCACTTCCCTTGCTAAGTCCTCCCCATATGCCTACCACAGAACATCACAGTGTATTTATATTTTAGGAACAAGGAAACTGCCTTATATTGATCCATCTAACTCAAGACTGCCAACACTGACTGACAGCCGCTCACCAGGATTCCAGACAAGGGTCTCTTCCAGCCAGCAGCGGGTGGTGTGTTGGGGACATCCATCCAAGCAGGTGAGTCACTGCTGCTTACTAAGAACAAGAGGAGGAAGTGCAAAGGCATTGGCAGGAGTGCTGGATTGACTCTGATGGTGCCAGCCTCCCGGCCATCTCCCACTTCCTCTTCTCCTTCCCAGAAAGCAGCAGTAACTCAGCAGTCAGGAGGTCAGATGTGATAAGTGAGCATCTTAAGTAGGGCTACTAAGTGAGCTCATAGCGGAGTAACATGATTCAGTGTCTTACAAGTTCTCATAGCTCGTACTCTAAACCGCAATGCTATGCTAAGTTCATCATCTTGATCACATATCCCATAAGTAAACATAAAATGTGTGGGATAACCAGCCTCATATAACCAACATGCTTAAGTCTAATGAATGTATGGAGGCATTCATACCATAAGAGTAAGCTGTCCTGCCAGGCTTAGCTATGACCACTTCCGCTTATCTTGGGAGGAACTAGGTAATCAAGCCTTTGTTCTCACAGTATACATGTGAACTTTGGTGTTTGAGGAGTTCTGAGCTGCTCCTGCCAGCCACATGGCTTTAATAAGCCTCTCTTGAGTTCCTATACCAATTGTTTAAGAACTTTTACCACTTTCTAAGCAAGCTAAGTTTTACTGCCTGTGCAACTTTTTCTGAATGCTGTATGGAAAAGCACATAAACCTGACCTTTGGAGAGTTAGTAAGTAAACCATTTTAAATTTACCATACATGTGATCTTTTTCCTATGCTGGGGAAACAGGGAAACTTTGGTAGGAACTTGAAGGAGCATATTTTAAAGGTCTAACAGCCTAGATGTCCACACTTGGATGCATATTTTGTGATTTTAAAGCTCCACTGGGGTTCTCTCCCAGCTTGGATCTTGCTCCCAACTTGGATCTTGGGATCCAGAAATCCCCCCCCCCAATGAAGGGTGCTGAGATACAAAGAAGGAGAGCACTTCTTTGATCTTATTACTTCTGTAGGAAGGAGAATTCAGCTTTTGATAAAACACCTTTGTGGAATTCTTTCTTCTTTGCAAACATCGAAGCCATTGCAGCAGAAGAGCAAGATATGGATGTAGTGGAGGATAGAAACCTCATTTAACAGATCCATGCCCAGGACTCTTCTTGTCCTTTTCTGGCTGTTTCATTATTATTAACCGAGAAAGGCTCAATAAACTTCAAGCTGAGGTTTATTATAATCTATATGCTGGCATGAGGAGAGGCATGTGAGTAAGGCAGAAAGCTCTCCCTCCTACCCACTGCTGCCACCCCCCTTTTTACTAATCTTTTAAATCCATAATGGAAAAAAAGCCAACAAAGCTTTTGGAATAAGCAGAGAGCAGGAGTTAGGAGCAACCTCTAAGCTTCATGTAAAACTTCATGTAAAAGTCCCTTTGTAGTGGCCCTACTAGGCTGATTAAGACCAGTGTTCTTTTGGGAGCAAAATACTTTGCATGCCTTCAGGTTAACCCTCCCCACACCCACTTTTCAAGCAGGAGAGCTGAACTTGCATTCAGAAGCTGCCAGATACCAAGTCAGAGCAATCGTCTGGAGTTCACTGGAAGAGGCTCTCCAGGATTTCTGATGGATCTCTCTCAGCCATACCTAGAGATGCCACGGACTTTCTGCATCATGCAAAACAGGTGCTCTGCTACAGCCCTTCCCTTTGTATCAAAACAACTCCTTACTATGGAGAACTATGGAGGTGACCCCAAAGCAGTACTTCTAGGGCTGCCACAATTCTGCCCCATGCCGCCAGTGCCAGTGCCTTTGACAGAATTTGGCATTAGTTGTGTGGGATAGCTCAGTTGGTAGAACAAGAGGCTCTTAATTCACTAGCCCTTCCTACTGAATGCTCAAGCTGCCACCGCCACCACTCCCAATGGAATGGATATGGCTGCTCAAAAGGGGACTCCAAATCCCCCCTCCCCATTAGGATGGAAAGGGATGGGGGGGGGATTGGTCAATTCTGGTTCTCTCAGTTCCTATTTTTCCAAATCATAAATTAAGTTCTCCAGATTTCTGCAGCAACTTGTGATTATTATTATTATTATTTAATTTTCATGAAAATTCACTAGCATTTTGGTGCACATTCATCCCCCCAAAATTTTTTTGGGCAGTTTTGACTACTATGCATTTTTGCAAGCAATTTTCTTAATATGATGCATTTTTGTAAATTATTTTTGCTAATATTTTAACTTTCATGCACACATTCCCCTAATATATTCATTTATGAACAGACCGATTGATTGGAGAATTGCACTGCAAATTTTGAAGGATGACTGCGTTTTGGTTTTCACAGCATTTCAGAAAGTGCAAATTTCACAGATTCATCTTTAAATTCGAACCTGTTTTGTTGCACCTTTCAGAAAGCAGTTCCTGCTTTAATCTGTTCCCTCCTCTTGCCATCCTTCTGATGCTGCTGAAAGCAGGCCACTTGACCCTGCTGCTGCTGCTGCTGCACGGTGGAGCCGGTCCTTACCATGGACAACAAGACACCTCTACTTTGGAAACAAATGGATTCACATATTTTAAGACATGTGAAGACCACTGTAATGACTCCTTCACAAGAGGTACATCCTGCACAGCAATGAGAAGTTCTGAAAACAATTTCAAGTTTGTTTTATTGTGACAAAGAACACACATGCAGGAAAACTGCAACTGGTTCTCGTTTTGGGAAGCCAATGACTACCTTTGTGGCTGACATTTGGTCCTGGGGGTTGGAAACCTAAAAGAAAAGATTTTAGTGTTTGGGATTTCTTACCTGATCTGTGCTTGGTGTATCTGTGATGTCGTTCATGCTTCTGCTTTGTGCATGGCCTAAAGGAGTAAACACATTATGCACCCATATATGATGAAATATCATTTAAAGGTAAAGGTACCCCTGCCCGTACGGGCCAGTCTTGACAGACTCTGGGGTTGTGCGCCCATCTCACTTAAGAGGCCGAGGGCCAGCGCTGTCTGGAGACACTTCCGGGTCACGTGGCCAGCGTGACAAAGCTGCATCTGGCGAGCCAGCGCAGCACACGGAAATGCCGTTTACCTTCCCGCCAGTAAGCGGTCCCTATTTATCTACTTGCACCCGGGAGTGCTTTCGAACTGCTAGGTTGGCAGGCGCTGGGACCGAGCAACGGGAGCGCACCCCGCCGCGGGGATTTCGAACCACCGACCTTTCGATCAGCAAGCCCTAGGCACTGAGGCTTTTACCCACAGCGCCACCCACGTCCCTGAAATATCATTTATTTATTTTTAAAAAAATTGAGAGCTGAGATTCTGGAAATTCTGTCTAGAGATCCAGGATTTTATGTTGTCTGTCCTTGATGTGATTTCTTCACCAAGAAGCCGCTACAACCCAACCCTGAGTATACCACCACAAAGTTTCTCAAACTAGATAGAATCAGGGCAGGCTACAAATGAAGATTTGGGGAGCTGAGTATATTCATACAATCCCTTCATAGCCCAAGAAGACCTCCAACCACATTTTCTGCAACACATTCATTGTTACCACCAATCTGCATATGTGGCAGAAAATGTATATATAGATAGCTTACAATATACACGCATTAAAAAGAAAGTGTCAGAACCATGTTGGGGAGGGGATATTGAAAGAAAGGAAAAAGGAGCCAAGTGGTCTTTGAAGATGTGTGAAGGAATTTGCTGATGAGTTTTATGGCCCTGCTCTTCCTCTCTGCACCTGAGATACTACTTTTGCTCTGCCTGATAAGGCCTAGTTATCTAACTGTAACCTCTGCTAGTTACGTGACTTAATTTCTATGTACTAGTAAAGCTCAGTCAAGGAAATGCCTCCAAATAAGCCTGTGCAATTTACT